GAGGTGGTGGATGCTCCATCCCTGGAAACATTCCAGGTCAGGTTGGAGGGGGCTCTGAGCAACTTGATCTAGTTGAAGATGTCACTGCTCATTGCAGGGGAGTTGGACTAGATGACCTTTAAAGGTCCCTTCAAACCCAAAATGTTCTACGATTCTATTATAATGCAGATGGGATAGAGTAGGGGATCTCAAGTAATGCTGGACACTGTCATTAAATGGATCAAGACCTTGGTTTCAGTGATCTTTGACGATAATGGAGTTTTAGATGCCTACTTAACAAGCCCATGTAGAGACATCTAATTTTAGCTTAATCTTTATCTTGGATACAGTTTGACTGTTTGGCTGCTAACTCAGTAAGAACTGCCTTAGGTTGGGTATAAGTATTTACATTTTGTAGCAACTCTGTGGAAGAATCGTTGGATGTTGAAGAGAATTAATTCTCTATAATTTACAAGACAGTATTGCTCCTTAGCATTAATGCCTGTTGTTATCTCTTATTTTTTAAAGGAAAACAAACATAACAGGACATTCTGGTAAATGTGTAAAACTGTGTGTGTTTATTTCAGTTTCTTCTGACTTTTATACTTTAAAAGAGTTGTTTGTTTTTTTTTAATTTGGTTGGCTCTTAATATGTGGGCGAATCTTGGGTGTTTTTTTTTCTATTATCAGATGAAAAAAATTTGTGCTCTTTTATATGAATATAATTTATGTATATTTGAAGTATCTTTGTTCCTGCTTTTTGTTATTCCACATTGTTGTGGTTTAACCCTGGTAGGCACCTAAGCACCATACAGCCACTCACTCACTTCCTAACTCACTCGCACAGCCTCCCCCACCCCTGCTGGGACAGGAGAAGAGGAAAGCAAGAGTAAAAGCAAGAAACCTCATGGTTTGAGATCAAAATATTTCAATAAGTGAAGGAAGAGTGGAAGAAAAAAGGGAAAGGAAGGGAAGACAAAGAAAAAGAAAAGAAAAAGAAAAGAAGCGGGCAATCGCTCACCATCTCCCATGGATAGACCAATGCCCAGCCAGTTCCCGAGCAAAAGATGTCAATCTGACCTACCTAAACCCCACTCCACCCTGTTTTATTGCTGAGCATGACATTATATGGCATGGAATATCTCTGCCTGGCTGTGTCCCCTTCCAACCATTTGTGCACCCCCAATCTATTCACTAGGGGGTGGGGGGGGAGGGGAGTAGAATGAGAAACAGAGAAGGCCGTGATGGAGTGCAAACACTTTTCAGCAATAGGTGAAACATTAGTGTGTTACCAGCATCGTTTTGGTCACAAATCTAAAACATAGCACCATATGAGCCTCTATGAAGAAAATGAATTCCATCCCAGCCAGACCCAGCACACGTATATACATATTTACTGAATTCTGTTGCTCTGCTGCTGTTCTTGAATCTGGTTGAGTGGATCTCTGCACTATACAGAGGCATTTATCTGTTTCATGGTAAGCATTCACTTCTGTGTATCTCACATCAGGATCAAGATTTAGAATTTCTCTAAATACCTCAGATACTGTTTTTTCCGATGTTCTAATGTTATTCTATAAACAGTACTAAAAAACCGCTATGTATAGACATATAATCTGTACATACACAATTTATGATTCTTATATATTTGCTTCTAGTTTGGATAAAAAGCATTTGCTGAATTTTTACATGCACACATTTTTTATCTGTTTGAATTTAGATTTTTCTCCTGTTTCAAGAGGCTGAAGATAAAAACAAGCTTTTGCGAACTGTGGCTGGTGCAGGTTTGGACACTATCAGTAACCTAAGAGCTATATGGGATAAATTTGAATTAATGATGGAAAGCCACCAGCTTATGATTACAGAACAGGTAACAATGAAAGATTAATATTTTACCTAAAAATCTTGAAATTATTTTGAGTAAGTCTGGAGAAATATTTTTTCTTAGATTAAATCCATAAATGTTCTCAGTTTAGTGTTAACACCAGCATTACTGAATTGAGGGAGAACGTTTAAAGGAAGAATACTCAAACGGTTTAAACAGTAACTAGGTGAAACTTCTGTTGAACTGATGCTAAAATGAATGCTACATTGTTGTACTTCTGTCTCAAAGAACTTTCTGGAGATGGATATGGCTTAATGAATGCAATGGTTAATGGAGGAAAACAGGGTGATGATTAAAAGGTAGCATTTTTATTACTTTTTCATGTTTTTAGTACCGATGCTTGTTTTTTTTTTTCCACACAACTTTGCTGAACTATGCGCAGTCCTGTAATTTCAGTCCATAGGCAAATTGTTTGAACTCATTTGAAGTACTACTGAAGATACTACTGAAGATATCAATATACCATACAAATATAGCAACGTGCTGTAAGATGCAGGCTAAATAGGTTGCATAGGCCAAATAAATAGGTCTCAAATACCAGCATAAGAAAATTAGTGCTCCCTTTTTTAAAAAAAACAGAAGAATAAAGATGAACTATTTCTTAAGGTATTATACAAGAAGTTTTTTTATTTTGATCAAGTTGTAGTTATCAAATTTTGATCACGTTTTCAAGTTGATACCTTGGTTTCGATCATAGTTATAGTTACGAACCATTGAAGGAATTTCATTTTAACTCTTGCTTTACAGATTGAAATGATGAAAGGAAATGTGATTTCACGTATTAATATATATCTTCAAGACCTGGAAAAGTTTAAAGCTCGTTGGGATCAGCTAAAGCCAAGTGATGATGTCATTGAAACAGGTGATCAGGGTGTGCTCGAGAAAAGTGCTCAGATCATAAAGGAAAAAAAGAAAGAATTTGATGAACTTGAAACCGTGAAAGAAAAACTCATGTATGTTTATTTCCCTGTATACATTACTCATTAATGTATGGATCTTTTGCAGCAATAGAATCTCAGAAAATGTTAACTAAATTTTATCACAACAAATAATATAAGGAACTTCTTTTATTTATATTACATATTTTTCATTAGTTTTTCAGGGTCCTTTTTGTTCATTTTACATAACAAGAATTTCTCGAGCTGAGTTTTTCTTGAGTTTTTTGGAATGAAAAATTCAAGAAGTCTCTTAGGCTTTCAAGTAAGGGAGTCTGTACACTAAAGGCTTGATTCTGACTTCTGAAGTTCTTACTAAGAGAAGGTTTGGAGTATTGATCCAAGAGGGAGAGTTATTGCTTCAATCCTTTTGTAACTTAAGTGGGCATGAGCTCAGCTCTCGCATTTCTTAAGTGTCCTATCTGATAGACTGTTGTGCAAAAGGAAAGGATTTTTCCACTGGGTGCCTACTTTCATTAAGCTCATTATTGCAAATCTTGAGTGGACAGTTTTCTATTTAAATTCTTAGCTTGGCCCTTAAATATGATAGTAAATAAAATTAGCATGTTCTTTCTGCCTAACAGGAAGAAACAATCAATTTTTTTTCCCAAGCTTTATTTTTGGGGGCTTTTCTCATAAATGAGAAAGAAATGAAAGTTGATGGAAAATAATTGTGAATATGGGAGAAGCTCACTGTGTAGGACAGTTATCCCTGGTATTCCTTTATTATTTCTATTTGAGAAGGAGACTATAAGGAAATTGCAGTTGGCAGCAATGTTCTTCAATGAAGCGAATAGCTTTTCCTAAAAGATGTGTAATTATTTCCATATGATACCATCTCTTAAACCATAAATGTATAATGGAATAATGTAATGTATGATACAATGATCTTTTTATTCAGTGAAGAATGCCATCATTTTAAATTGGAAGAGCCTGACTTCTCATTGTCAAAAGTTGTATGTCAAGATATTAAGAGTTGTGCAGGAGTCTGGGCATCGTATGAAGAGTTTTATCAAGGTTTTGAGGAAAAAGCCAAAGAAGACTGGATTACTTTTAGGTATGATTTTGCTACTTTATTTTTCATAGACATACATGTATGGTTATAGTACTGTCTTGTTATGACCTTTTTATATTTGATTTTCACACAGGAGTAAAACATACCTATTTGAAGAATTTTTGTTTAACTGGCATGACAAAATGAGAAAGATGGAAGAACATACTGTAATGACAGTAAAATTGCAAAAAGAAGTGGACAAATATAAAGTAAGATGCTAATTACAGAAAGGGGTATAAAACAAAACATGTTTTGGTATTACTGGGTAATATACTTCATTCTGTAGCTCATTTTTCAGTTCTTATAATAAACTCAGTTACAATTTAACAAAATATTTTGTGATACTGTTTCGAACATTTCACTTACTTTTGAGAACTTTTTAGTTCCTTACAGTGAACAGGAAGGTCACTACAGTTTGCATAGACACACATTTAGCAATGAGTTTTCCTCAGTGTTATACACCTAAAAATTAAATCCAGGAATTGAAAAAAATGTACTTCAGTTTAAGAATGTAAAGTTTTGTTTTGTTTGAATAGCATGTCACTCTGTAATCAAACGGATACAATTTTCATGAAGACTAGATGGATTCACATGTGTGTTTTTCCTGTAGATGATAATTCCACTCCTAAAATATATAAGAGGAGAACATCTTTCTGCAGACCATTGGCTGGATCTCTTTCGTCTTCTGGGTCTTCCCCGAGGCACTACACTTGAGGGTTTGTTATTTGGAGATCTGCTAAAAGTGGCGGATGCCATTGTAGAAAAAGCAACGGAACTTAAGGTACGAATAATTTCAAATAAAGGTACTATATTTTATGTTACGGTTTATTTTATGTAGTATATCTTGTTCTATATGCGTATTTGTATTTTTATTACTATAGAAATAGAATTTACGTTATATTTTTGAATCGAAAGTTTATTGCAAACTCTGTGCTTTCAAATGAAATCTATTTATGCTTTTAAATAGGATTTGAATTGTCGGGCCCAAGGTGAAGTCACAATCAGAGAAGCATTACGTGAGCTTGAACTCTGGGGAGTTGGAGCTGTCTTTACATTAACAGATTATGAAGATAGCCAAGGCAAGACTATCAGGCTTATTAAAGACTGGAAGGACATAGTCAACCAAGTTGGAGATCATCGCTGTCTTCTACAGTCCCTCAAGGACTCTCCATATTACAAAGGTTTTGAAGATAAAGTCTCCATCTGGGAAAAAAAGCTGGCTGAGCTGGATGAGTATCTGCAGAATTTAAACCAAATTCAAAGGAAATGGGTCTATTTGGAACCGATATTTGGTCGTGGTGCTCTGCCTAAAGAACAGGCTCGTTTTAACAGAGTTGATGAAGACTTTAGGTTAGTGTTATGGAATGTGACTTATTTTTTGTAGTATCTTTGACACGTGTAGGCTAGAACATTCTTCATGGTGAAAATGTATTGAACAACTGGAATACGTATGGAGATGAAGGTCAGCAGCAAGAATTCAGTAGATATAGATGTGTGGCAGTGACATAGATCTGAATAAAGGTGGTAACGTAGGTTTCATTTAATGGGGTACATATGAAGAAGGGAATCACATGAAACGTCAAAGATCACGAACAAGGCAGGCAACCACAAGATCAATCTTGTCAACAGAAGCAGAGGTGATGTAATTGTTTTTTCAAGAATCATTTCTTGTTGAAGACAAGCACTTTGTTCACTAAGCAAGTATACAGATGGACTTTTGGGAGAAACAGACGGTTTATTTGTTCTAAACAAGTCAAGAAGATAAAAAGGAAGGAGATTGTAGAAATGTAGATATGTACCATTATCTGTCTTCATTTGAGTTAAAATGACTTCTTAGAACGAAATAGAAGTCAAGAATTGAATTTTCGTGGTTTTGGGTAAAGAAATTTTAGCAAGAAACAGTTGTTATTAAATTACATTGGAGAGACATTGATGTAAATTCTGAAATGTTTCATCATTAATACTGAAAACTGGAAGTTACATATCAGATATTTATATGACTTCCCTGTGCTTTGATTTTTATTTACATAACTACATGTATAGCATATTCAGTTTAAAACTATAATGGTGGCTTTATGAATTATTCCATTTTTTTCTGTCAAGATCCATTATGTCAGATATCAAGAGTGACAATAGGATAACATCACTGAATGTCCGGACAGGAATAAGAAATACCTTGATTACCATACTTGACCAGCTTCAGAGGTGTCAGAGATCTTTGAATGAGTTTTTGGAGGTACAGCTGACATTAATATAGTTTTCTATAAAGAAAGTCAATAAGTTCGAATTTAAATTAACAAAACTGATTTATTTTGGTTTTATATAGGAAAAGCGCTCAGCATTTCCAAGATTCTATTTCATTGGAGATGATGACTTACTAGAAATTTTAGGACAGTCCACGAATCCTCTGGTTATCCAGTCTCATCTTAAGAAGCTTTTTTCTGGTAATGCATTAATCTTCATTTGTGAAATGTACTTATTTAGAAATAAGGTTCTTCAAAGCTAAATAATATGTTGCAGACTTTTTTTTCTCTCTTTCCTCTACTAGACACTAAGGGATTAATGTTTGACTTTAACAATATATGATGTCATTGCTGTTTTCTGATTACTAGGCATTAATAGTGTGAGCTTTGATGAAGAATTTAAATACATAGTTGCCATGAAGTCTGTAGAAGGAGAAACTGTGTCACTTAGAAATAAAGTTCTTCTGTCAAATGATGTGGAGGTAAGAAAATCACATCCAAGTATAGTTCAAGCATCTTTGAGAAATTATTTTGTAATGTAACTTTTGAGGTTTTTTCATCTCTTTGTCAGGTGTGGCTAAACAGTTTGGCTTTGGAGATGAAGGAGACCCTGAAAAAAATGTTAATTGACTGTGTTGATGCTGGAAAAAAATCACAAGGTTCAATTGATCCATCGCTCTTTCCTTCGCAGGTAGTACTTGATCCAGTAATGCGACTGTGTAGTCTTAGATTTACCAAATAAGTTATTTTTTGAAGTCTCGTAAAGAAGTATACATATGGATTTGGAAGAAATTAACCTCAAACAATGCCATTTTATTCATTATAGTATAGAGAAATTCTTAAAAATATGTGTTCTTATAATTCTTTTGTAAACAGTTGAAATACTCAAGTCTTTCACATGGCACCTGATCTAACATCTGTCTATTTATTAAATTTGATGTAAATCTTGATCTTGGTTGGTAGTGAATGTTATATTCAGGGCTGCTAAGACTTAGTAACATAAAAAAGCCCTTTTTCAATCTGATTAAAATATAGTTTCTAAAGCTTAGCTGTATAAGCAGAAATAGTCATGAACATTAAATACTTCTATGCAATTTTGACCAGTAGCACAGAGAATCACACAGAATCACAGAATAGTTGTGGTGGAAAGGGACCTCTAGAGATCTGGTCCACCCCGCCTGCTCCAGCACGGCCACCTACAGCCAGTTCGCCCAGGACCATGTCCAGACAGCTTTTGAATGTCTCCAGGAATGGAGACTTCACCACCTCTCTGGGCAACCTGTTCCAGTGCTCAGTCACTCTCACAGTAAAAAAGTGTTCCTAATGTTCAGACAGAACCTCCTGTGTTTCAGTTTGTGCCCACTGGCTCTTGTCCAGCCACTGGGCACCTCTGAAAAGAGCCTGGCTCCGTCTTCTTTGCATGCTCCCTTCAGGTATTTATATTCATTGATAAGATCCCCCCCTGAGCCTTCTCTTCGCCACGCTGAACAGCCCCAGCTCTCTCAGGCTTTCTTCATACGAGAGATGCTTCAGTCCCTTAATCATCTTTGTGGCCTTTCACTGGACTGTGTCCGGTAAACCACCTGTCCTTATTGGCTCCTCTATCACTTGGAAGAGGAAGTTGTCATCAACGAACTCCATGAACCTCCTGGATTGCTTATGTCCTGCTGTGTTGCCCCTCCAGCAGGTATTGGGGTGGTGGAAGTCCCCTATGAGGACCAGGGCCTGTGAATGTGAGGCTGCTCCTATCTGTAGAGGGCCTGATCCACTTGTTCTTCCTAGTCAGGTGGCCTGTAGCAGACACCCACTATAACATCGCCTTGACCTGTTCTCTCTTTAATCTTAACCCATAAGCTCTCAGCTGGCTCCTTATCCATCTCCAGGCAGAGCTCCGTGCACTCCAGCTGCTCTGTCACATAAAAGGCAGCTCCCCCTCCTCGTCTTCCCTTCCTGTCCTTCCTAATAAGCCTGTATCCTTCCATTGCAACACTCCAGCCATGAGAGCCGCCCCACCACATCTCCATGATCCCAGCAAGATCATAGCCCTGCAACTGCACACAGATTTGTAATTCATTATGTTTATTCCCCATACTGCATGCATTAGTGTACAGGCACTTTAGAGAGGCACCCCAGCATGTTGAGTTTCTGGAGAGGTTTTGGGGGATGATTTCTCCATAATGGTGCCTTGTAGGCACTTCCTTGCTGACATGCAAGTGCTGGACGTGACCCTGCTTAAGCCCCATTTTGTTGATTTTTGTGATCTCTTCCTGTCACATCACCCCATGCCCTTTGCTCAGTGATCCTGTCTCTCGCTCCTTCAAAGGCTTGCTGGTTACTCTCTTCCTCCCCCGGAATGTAGTTAATGTTACAAATCTTCAGATTGGCATAATTGATGGAATTTTTTGTTACAGATCTTTCCAGTTCCAAGTTTGACTGAACCTTCATAGCTCAGACAGGGCTTTTCCAGTGAACTTAAAGTAATTAGAACATAAGTGGAGTATTTGAAATCAGAATGCAAAACACTGTGTTAGCAGATCAGTGACACAAAAAGGCAGAGGTGTTCCTGAGCCTGTTGAGTATGGGCTCAGCATGCCTACAATGTGGTAGTTTCCATCTGACACATCATTTAATGGGAAAAGATCTAAAAATTTTGATACCACATGCTGTAGAACAGCTAAGGGACTTGCTGTATTAGATTACATTGCAAGTTTTCGCGACATTTTATTGGATTTTAAGATGGCTGCATTTGTTCTTAAGAGCATAGCAAATGTGTGGCGTTGTTTAAAAATGATACAGTAAAATACTTTAAATATCAGACATAATAAGCAATTATAAATGAATTGAAAAACTTTTTTTCTTTATGTCTCCTGTATTTATAAAATGTAATCTGAACTTTCTCTTCCAAAGATTCTTTCCTTGGCAGAACAAATTCAGTTCACTGAAGATGTTGAAAGTGCTATCAAAGACCATAATCTGCAACAATTAGAATTAGAACTTACGGCTAAACTGGAACATTATACTAGCATTGATACTAGTATAGAAGATACTGGGAGTACAGGTATAAAAATGATCATTAATATATAATTCTTTATAATGACTATGTAGTTGTACAGTATTTAACATTCTGTTTATTTAAACAGAAAAATATGTAAAGCTGTCTTGATTTGAGTTCATAAAGTTAGCCACCTATTACCACCAAGATTAGTGTATTTAATATTTCAGGGTGAACAGTGGATTTTTATTTAGATTAAAAATGATCTTGCAGCATTTATATATTTGCAAACCTCTTTAATGAATTTTTTAATAACTTTTTATAATTTTTGTTTTATATATTTACTGATAATTTGTCCTCACCTACTGAACTGTACTCTAGTGTTATATTTCATTGGAACTGGCCAAACAGCAGTTGAGGTACATTATGTCATGCCAATATGTTCTGTATAACTGTGTAGGTGATTCTCTTTTTCTTACTTAGATGTATACATCTGCATCTGAACTAATAATTCTTGAGTACCTCTGTAGCAAAACCACTAAACTAGTTATTCTCAAGACATGATTGTTCTGAATCTTATATAGTCCAAATGGATTAGAATAATTATGCCTTTGAGTGTTTATTCCTCTCTTCTGACCGGGGGGGCTTTGAATGACTACCTCAGATGTAAAATTCTAGAGTGTAGGTTAGGTGAGATGGCTCTTACCATATACATATAAAAAGACTCAATTTGACATGTAATTGACAATCTTCCACCACATTTGTGTAGCTGCTTACTGTATTAAATTCTAGTTTAGAATTTATGAACTGTTAACATCTGATATATTAATTAGGAATAGGATTCATATCACCTACCTTTAGCAGTCTGTAAGTGTGGTTTTTTATCTAAGCTCCCTTTCTGTGCTCTTTCTATAGCCATTGGAGAAATGTCATCAGTTATAGAAGAGTGTTCATTCCATCTATTGTATAATACATTTACAGTAACCTTTTAGTTTGGATAATAGGTGTGATTTTGAAGTGAGTTGCCTGATTATCCCCACTTACTTTCGTTTAATTCCCATCATGGAATGGTATAGGAGCACACAAACTGGATTTCTTTCAAATGAAACTAAATTAAAAAATATGTTCTCAGAGTACACTTAATGCACCCAATCTGCTAATGAACATTTATTCCACATCACCCTAATTAGTCCGAGTAGAATCTCCAGAGTGTGTGTAGTATGGTTTTCAGATCCTCAGCAGATCAATTAACAGATTGTGCCACGCTGATTACTAGGGTGGACATAGCTGTAGACACTCCTGGAATAAATTGCTTTCCAAAAAAAGCCTCTGTCTCTTATTGAGTGTAGAGGCAAACAAAATCAATTCTAAATGACTGAAGTTACATGATGATTCACATTCTCTGTCAGGATCTCATTTTATGCTGCTTGCTTTAGATAATAAATAATATTTCTATATATAATTGAAATGAGATCTGAATAAAATCTGCTGATAATAGAAAGCAGCACAATGAACTGAGAATGGGTAACGTGTATATTCCCTACTACACTGTTGTGATTTTTTTTTTTTTTTTGGTGGTTATTTGCAGAATCAGGAATCCTTGAGCTCAAGCTTAAAGCTCTGATTCTTGATATCATTCATAACATTGATGTGGTGAAGCAGCTGAATCAAGCTCAGGTTCACAACGTTGAAGACTGGGTTTGGAAGAAGCAGCTGAGATTTTATATGAAAGACCAAAAATGTTATGTTCAGATGGTAGATGCTGAACTCCAATATACTTACGAATATCAGGTGTGGTATTTTTAATTTTTACCTGGTGGCTTTTATATATGTGTCAAACACTTTCTCATTTCACACATGCTGCTGGTTGCCTCCCAACTGTTGCCATTTTTTTTCAACTTTGTTGTGTCCTTAGCATGCTGTTTCATAGAAAATACTAAAAGATAGGGTAATCATTTTCATTCGTGATATTGATGAGGTAAATGTAAGTTGTATGGAAAGCAGCTACAGTATCATATAAATATTTTCTAATATGCTTGCTACTTTTATATATCAGAGTGCAGTTTCATCTGTGTTGACCCCTTTTCTGTAATTCTAAAAAAAATTTTCACAATGCTTTTACATTTGATATAAAATCAGGAAAACTTCATAGCTGTAAACAAATTCATACACTTAATGAGACAGTAATCTTGACCATTGTGTTATGTTTTCAAATTAATGACTTATGAATGAAAGTAATGAAATTACATCGTCAGTAATTCGGGGAGACTTTATTGCTATCAGTACTTAAAGGGGGCTTATAAAAAAGATGGCGGCAAACATTTTAGCAGGGCCTGTTGTGACAGGACAAGGGGGAATGGCTTTAAACTAAAGGGGGGTAGATTTAGACTAGATAGAAGGAAGACATTTTTGACGCTGAGGGTGGTGAAACACTGGCACAGGTTGCCCAGAGAGGTGGTGGATGCCCCATCCCTGGAAACATTCCAGGTCAGGTTGGAGGGGGCTCTGAGCAACCTGATCTAGTTGAAGATGTCCCTGCCCATTGCAGGGGGGTTGGACTAGGTGACCTTTAGAGGTCCCTTCCAACCCAAACTATTCTATGATTCTATGATTCCAATTTCTGTCTACCAATCAATATAATTTGTTTTGTTTCTGCAGGGTAATTCCCCTAAACTTGTTTACACACCTTTGACAGATAAGTGTTACCTAACTCTTACTCAGGCTATGAAGATGGGCCTTGGAGGAAATCCCTATGGTCCAGCTGGAACTGGAAAGACAGAATCAGTGAAGGCCTTGGGTGGACTTCTTGGAAGACAAGTATTAGTCTTTAATTGTGATGAGGTGAATATAGTTCTGTACAATTTAGGAAATGGATATCTATGCCCATACTTCATAACGCAATATTATATTCTAGAAATACTTTTGATAATCTGTCAGTTTCCGTTAGAAATTTGTGGGTATTTCCAATGACGTATTTTTTAGTAGATGGGAAGACAGTCTTTCATTACTTTCTTGTTATTTGAATTTTGATAGTATTCTTTTTAATTTTAAGGGTATTGATGTGAAGTCGATGGGGCGCATATTTGTGGGCTTAGTGAAGTGTGGTGCCTGGGGCTGTTTTGATGAATTCAATAGACTTGAGGAAGCTGTATTGTCTGCAGTATCCATGCAGATTCAGACAATTCAACATGCATTGAAGAGACATAGTCCTGTATGTGAGATGCTTGGCAAAAAGGTACAGCAAAACTTTCTTTCTTTCTGCTTATAAAAATAGTCTATAAACAATTGGGTCAAACTTAAAAACTGACTACTGTAACTAAACATAGTCCACCCAATATTTCTCAATACTGTTTTATATGACAATATGTTATTACAATGCACTTCTAATGCTAGGTTGAAATGGATCATAATTCTGGAATTTTTATCACTCTGAATCCTGCTGGAAAAGGTTATGGAGGAAGACAAAAACTGCCTGATAACCTCAAACAACTTTTTAGGCCAGTTGCTATGACTCATCCAGACAACGAACTCATTGCAGAAGTGATTTTGTATTCAGAAGGCTTTAAGGATGCTAAAATACTCGGTAGAAAATTAGTGGCTATTTTTAATCTAGCAAGGTAAGGTGTGGGGTTTTTTTCCTTAGTCATGTAACCTTTGTAATTCTCTTCCCTCCTGCTTTTATTTTAGCGTTGATCCTTGTTATCTCACTGCCGTCTTGTTTCTTCTCCATCTAGTCTATGCCAAAGCATGACTTTAGGGATACAATCTACACATGCTTTCTGTTAATTTTCTGTAATATTTTATGACTTGGATATTGCAGAAAGCTATGTATCAGAAACAAAACTAGACATAAAACCACAGGTTTGGAGTCATCTAAAGTTTTACTTTCAATACAGCTCTTAAATCTGAATGGTATACCATGCATCTCTGTAGATACTAATTTAACTTATAAAGTAAGAACATTGCAATATATTGGGAGGTTCACGTATGAAAATAACTGGAATGCAGTTATAATCTCAAGGTGGCGAAGTACTGCTCCTCTATTACACACACTAAATATGAATGTGAGGATATGAATGCTCACAAGCATTGTGTTGAATTTAGACTCTTGAAGTTGTTGAAATGCAAGTGACTATTTGGTTATAAGTATGCATATTAGAGAGAACAAATTTCAGAGGTTTTAATTAATGCTGTTAGGGACAATAATAAATACATTAGCTGTGGAATATACTCCCTCTGAAAATTCCAGTGTGTCATTGCTTATATCTCTGAAATGCATTACAGACAGTGTTACAAATACTCACCAGTTTCTCTTTTGCCCAAAACCATATTATGAGCATATTCATTTGCCAAACAAAAATTTCAGGCGCTATCACCTAAATCTTATTAAAATATTGCTGTTTTTAAATTTAGGGAGCTTCTGACACCACAGCAGCACTATGATTGGGGTTTACGAGCATTGAAGACTGTTTTGAGAGGCTGTGGCAGTCTTCTTCATCAGCTGAAGAAAAGTGAAGCAAGGCAAGAAAGTAAGGTTGACCATGCCAAACTTTTGATTATTCAGGATGTTGTACAGCTATCATTCACTACAGCTTTCTTGTTCACTGGAGTTTTGAGAAGCCATGGCTTGGATCTGGAGGCAATCTAGAAAAGAAAAAAATATCTGTGAAAGTCCTCCTTCATTAGGACATCACAAAAGACTCTTGTCATATTCTAGATTGAGCTTTTATATGATAAGAATATAGATATAGGACCTTATTCTGGGATGATTTTGAGTGATTCTCAAAGACTTTTGTTTTCACTTGGTTTAGGTCAGGAAAGTTGATCCTCTGATGCTGTCATTATTCATCAGTCATTGGACCATTTTTATTCTCTTTGAGGATTGCTAAAATTGTCATATGGCATTAGATTCAGATTGGTAGACAGAGACAAATACAAGGACAGGTAGAAATGATAGAAATGTATTGACTAGACTGGGTCACTGTATTATTTTTTTAAGCTTTTTTAAATGATTGTTTGTTGTTGTTTGGATATTAAATGAGTAGGAATTAAGAGTGTGGGATGGATAAGCATTTCACATCTTTAGGACACAACTACTGCTTCTTGTTTGCTTAAACAGCATATGTCTGTCCAGACTATACTGAAAGTTTTTAGAGACAGCCTTGGTTTACAAATCTTGGCATAACAAATGGTCTGACAACTTTAAAGAATTTGTAATTGACTTTAGTTTGGATCTGCCAAAGAAGGATTACCAGCAATGTGTTTTAGGGCACATTCCTATCACTGTTCCTTGCTATGACACTTTAGCTTCATGTTTAAATATGTGAAATTTGTTTGGTCTGGTTTAAATTACAATTTTCAATAACCCTGTGAAAGGCAAGATGGATGGATTTAGCTTATGATTTGGACGCAGAAATTTTTCTTTGTGTTTTTTTTTGTTTGTTTGTTTTTTATCTCTTAGCTTGAGAAGCTTAAGATATTGCTAACAAATGCGTTTTCCTGTTTCTTTATGTTTGCTTGTATTGTTGAGTCAAAATCCTTTGGCATGTCAAAATGTTGGCCATGTTCTTAAATGTTGCTTAAATTTTGTATTACATCCTTTAGTAAAGCAGTTCAACCTTTCTAAATCAAGTTCCTTAATGCCAACATTTTCCCTCTTAACCATTTATTGTGCTATAGAAAATTTGCCTGTAGAAGCATTTGCATTTAAGGCATTGTTCAGGATGAAAAACCGTGAACTTTTTGCAAATTCTAGAAGGGTATGCTAATCGTTAACCTCTGGAACATTTGGGAAAAAGCCGCAGGAAAAAGGGAAGTTAGGGAACGGACACTTTCTGTCCCTTGTGTTGAATTTGGGCTATAGTGCATTCTGGTTTGGGGCAATCACGCATTCAGAAGGAGGGCAGAAACACAGGATGATTTTCACTTGTGTTTCCTAGTCCTGCCCTCTGCAAATGTACATGTTTTACATGAGAAAGCAATTTGATTAAAAAAGCAAAAAAACAGAGATCAGAGCCCTGTGCCTTTCCCATCATGAGTATTTTTCAGGCAGAGTAAAGCTTTCTTGTGGCTGTTTTTGTTCTGGTCCCAAAACACATTTCCATGGTATTTCAGATTGAAGAGGAGTTGTGGAGAGCGTTCATTTCTGGAATATCATAGTTAATTAGGACGCACTTGAGAGGTGTGACTTCAAACTGCCTCTGGCAGAGTAAGGTCTAGAATCCAGGTCCTTAATTTCTTTCATGAGGGCTTTAACGAGTAAGCTATCATGCACTGCCAATCTTAGTTCCACTTTAATCATAAGGCTATTATGTACTATCTGGGCAGCATCATAACCATCTCATACCTGTATAGAATGCATTTGTAAGCATATATGATACTTATAGTAAGGCACTCATCTAACTTCCAAGTACAGTGGTAGATGAACTGGAATGTGGTCTGCACTGTGATTCCACCTTCAACGTCTTAGCAGTATGGGCTCAAGTGCTGATATAGCACTTGAGGAAAGAAAAAACCAACAAAGAGCTTAAACTGATTTGGCTTCTTTGCTTTTATTTCCAGTTAATGAAAGTCACATGGTGGTTCAAGCTCTGCGGCTTAATACCATGTCAAAGCTTACATTTGCAGACTGTGCACGATTTGATGCGCTGGTTAAAGATGTATTTCCTGGTATTGACTTTAAAGATGTGGAGTATGCTGAGTTAACTACAGCTTTACAAAAAGTCTTTGAAGAAGCAAACTTGGAAATTATAAGCACCCAGGTAAACATCAACTACAGCAACAAAACAATATGAGTTATTCCTAATTAGAACTTATTAATATTACATTCATTTGACACATTTTTATTTACTTTTGAAAGAAATCTTGTATTAAAAAGTGAGAATTAACTAATAGTTAGATTCTAATTACATGTATATAAAAAATAGATGTCTGTGTTTGAAGCATGGTAGATCAGTTGTAATTGAAAGAAAAATAGTGCAAGGAAAATTAAGATGTGAACATGTGACACACAGTTTTGTTCAAGCCACGTACAAACTCCAATGAACATTCTGGACAGTGAAAGAATTAAATATGTGAACATTTGGTTTTATCAAGCAGTTCCGTGTCTCATTTATATTTGTTTATTGTAGGGCTGCATGCAGTTTTGTGACTAAAGGTTCATTAATTTCTCAGTAAAAATATGCCCAAAGAGGGCTGATATTTTCATATTAGTAATTTAGTGAAATGCTTCTAACATGCAGAATAAGTTTCTTGATATTCTTTAGTATCGTAATTTTAATTACTTCTGCAAATACCTATTGTTTCAAAAAGTAAAATTTTAGAAATAAAGTGACTGCATCCAAAGTAAATTGGAAAAACATTAAAAAAGAACATGATTAATTTAGCTTTACGACTTCACATAGCCATTATCTCTTTTATTATCTAGATTAAGAAGGCTTTGGAATTATATGAACAACTACGTCAAAGAATGGGCGTAGTTATTGTAGGTCCAAGTGGTGCAGGTAAATCAACACTCTGGCGGATGTTAAAGACAGCACTTGGTAAAACTGGCAAAGTAGTGAAACAGTATACTATGAATCCCAAAGCTATGCCTCGACATCAGTTGCTAGGCCATATTGACATGGATACCAGAGAATGGTCTGATGGTGTGCTTACAAATAGTGCTCGACAAGTGGTACGAGAACCCCGAGGTATGTTTGTGAGGGGGTTAAACATCATTATGCTTAAATTACTGAAATTGTTTATTTTCAGTCACATTTTTATATTATGTTATTATTTGTGCGTAGCATAAGGTAAAAACTTTTTGTGACAATCATAGTCAAGAACACTGATATGTACTTTCCAAATTGTGTGATAAGAAAGCAAAAATAGACATCAGAAGATAAAACATATAAGGAATATCTTTAAAGAGTTTATATTTAAGTTATAATGAAAGAAGAGTCATAAATAGTGTTAAAATAGCAAGGGATGATATTCTTTAAATGTTTTTCTTGGGTTTGATTTTTTTTTTTTGTGTCTGGAAATAGATATTACTTCATGGATAATTTGTGATGGTGATATTGATCCTGAATGGATTGAATCTTTGAATTCCGTTTTGGATGACAACAGATTGTTGACTATGCCCAGTGGGGAAAGAATTCAGTTTGGCTCAAATGTCAACTTTATATTTGAAACTCATGACCTTAGCTGTGCCTCTCCTGCTACAATATCTCGAATGGGAATGATCTTTCTGAGGTAAGTCACAGGAGTATTACATCCTTTTAAAGTAAGCAAATATACCTACTTTTCTGTTCTTGAAAGATAGTTGAAAGGGGATGGAGCAATTTAATTACTTGCTTACACTTATGAAGCAAATCACTGGGGGAGTTTGCTTTAGGTTGCATGTCCCTTCTACGCTGTCCTGTTATAAGCTTTTGGTTAACATATCTCAGACTTTTTGGAAGAGACATCGTGGATTCTTTGTTTGTGTGTGACCCTTAGAAAGCCCAAATATTGGTCAGAAATTCTTGTTTAAGTCTTTCCCTGAACTTTTCCTAGAATTTTTTTGTTCCCTTTGAACCAGTCTATGTGAAGATGTGGATGCCTTGTATTTGTTTGAATCTTGTTTTGTTTTGCTTTGAGTTAGTGATGAAGATACAGATCTTAATTCTCTGATAAAGTCTTGGCTAAGAAGTCAGCCGGAAGAATGCAGATACAACCTTGAAAACTGGATTGGGAACTATTTTGAAAAGGCTTTAAACTGGGTTGTGAAGAAGGTTAGTAACTGAATACTTAATCAATTTTCAGCTTCTGCTAAGATGATCCATTTATATGAATGATCTCTTCAGTGTTAAACTAGATTAGTTTTTAAATTTTAAGTAAAAAACCATCTCAGTGCTTTTTTGATTGATGTTTTCTTCATAAGATTAATACTGGAACCGTTCTACTCAGTTTCCAAAAACTAATCGCTGTATTTAAAGTTTTGAAACATTTAATATAATTTTAACTAGTTAAAGCCATGTATTTCTGTGAAACTTAATATCTGTCTTTAATTTTCCATACTGGACATTTCTTTATATGTTTTCAGAGACCTAAAAGATCTGAATGTGTAAACTAAAAAATGAAGAAGTGAAGAAATTGTTTTTCCAGATTTAAGTTATTGACTGTAACAAAAAAAAAGGCTAAAATTTGAAAAGTTGCACAGTGTAGACCAGAGCTTGTAATAGGTTGGGGAGAAATGTAATGCTAGACACCTAAAAAGATTGATAGAAGCATAGCTAAAGAAGTAGTCTGATTGTTCAGAATAGTACTTTTTAACAGCTCCCACTAATCTGTCCTGGATTTAAGTATATAACTTTAGCTCTTTAGGATTCAACTGAAAACCTTAACCGAAAGATGTTTTAATGAGCGAAAGGTAATATGTAATAGCAGTATTCCAAAAGGATAGTCCAAAACCTTGTACATTATCTGGATTCTGTACATACATTCTGGGACGTACATCAAGATAATTGTTCTGCATGTGCTATATTTTCTTAAGTAGTCTGGGTGCTTCCCTGCCTCCCCTTGTTCTGAAGGAGTTGCATTTGCATTGAACAAGTGGCTCATGTTGCACAAAACGTTATTTAGGAGAAATCCCCATTGCCGTGGCCAGTAAGCTAGTATTTAGGAGACCTGAATTACCTCCCCTTGAGGAACACATATGGTCCTGTTGTGGTTTTAATATTATTTCCCCTCTTGCTTCTTTCACCCATGGAGATTTTTAGACTTTTAAAGTATCTTCAGGTGGATACAAAGGAAAAACCATGACACTGATCCTGAGGCTGTAAATCCCCTTTGGTGCTAAAGAGCAAAATACGTAAAGAATCCATTCACGAGAAGGATTTCCAGTATACAGTTATGTTGATTTCTTATAGATTCTCAAAATCCGTAAGGAAAGTTCTGATTGCTTATCCTAAATTACATCAATACATAGTCTGGTATTAAAACTTCTAAATCAGTGCTTAAAAATAATTTCATGTCCAGTGAATTTTCTAGAACAACAGCAGTATTGAGAACTTTCATCATTTGTGGAAGTGTCAAAGAACGATGAGTAATAGTCTGCTAGCAATACATCACATTTATTTTTAGGAATATATTTAAATCTGCTACAACTTGCAATTTACAGAATGACTCTGTGGTAGAAACAAGTTTAGTTGGAACTGTGATGAATGGACTGTCTCATCTTCATGGGTGTACTGATCGTGGACAGTTTATTATTAACTTATTACGGGGTCTTGGTGGCAATCTGAACATGAAATCACGACAAGAATTTGCAAAAGAGGTAATAAACTTTTCCAGCAAGTTTATTAAAAATGTCTCAGTATATGTAGTAGGAATAGTGATTTTCTGTCTTCTAACAATGCAAATTTACAATAATAGAATATCTGTGCTCTAATTAGTTTGCAATCTGTGTTGTCTATAGGGAAATAGCTCAGAAGTAAAGGAATGTTTCATATATCACTGATATGCTGCTAAGTGCACCAGCCCAGATAGCAATCTTGGTGCTGCACCAAAAGATACAGAATGACCTCTATCCGTACTGTTTTATGCAAGGACCCACTATAGCTGACCATGTGTGTGTATATGTATCGTGTATATGTAATACAGATTAATTTTTCTGTTTTTTTTTCTGTTCAGAATGCTTGAAATAATAATGTGGGGGCTTTGTTGCACCTCCACCAGGGAGGTATTCTTACAGCATTATTTTGAGGTTATATATTGTATGTGCTGGGGTATGGTTCTGTCTTTGTGTAGATACTTGAGGGCACAAGGACTAGGGAGTCGTGTTGGAAAACTAGGTGGGTATACTGGTCCATAGTGTCTACAGAAGGCTGTTCCTGGAGATAGTTATCTCCACAATCGCACTCCACAATCGTACTTGGGTTTTATGTTGGAGAAGGAAATAGTTCCTTCCAAAAGAAAGCCTGGAGCTATAACATATATAGAGGGCAGATGGTAAAGGTTTAGGCTCAGCTTCTGGAATTAGCTATTGATGCACGTGAAGGAGTTATCTTGTTCTTATGATTATTATTATGTATATTGCCTAATATGAAAAAAAGTTTATATAAAGCTTTGCTAAATACAGTTTATTTTATGTTCTTTATGTTATGAAAAAGTAATATGTGGAAGAGTAATGTTACTGTTTAGTTAAGGACTTAATTATAAAGCATATGCATGACATGATTGAATTTTCAAAGGCAGCCTTAAAATTATCCAATCAAAGAATTAAATGTTTGGTTTGACAGAAGTATTCTTTGAACATTCTTTAGATTAACTTGAAATTGTAGATCTTGTCGTTAGGAGAATGGATTTAACAGAAGCTTTATTTTTATTTTTTTTTAAAGATCTTCAGTTGGGCACAAGAATCTCCACCAGATCCGAGGAAGCCCCTGGACACATATTATGACACTGACACTGGACAGCTAATGCTGTATCAGCTGAAAAAAACTGAAAGTCTAACAGTTGATGACTTCAGTAACCTCCAAACACTTCCCGTCATCCAAACCCCTGACATGCAGAGAGGTTTAGATTACTTTAGACCCTGGCTAGACTTTAACAATAAGCAGCCATTTCTTCTTGTGGGTCCTGAAGGATGTGGAAAGGGGTAAAAAGTATTTCCTGTTTTAAGCAAAATATACTTCTAGCTATTTGACAAACTTTGTAATATTTTATTATAATGGTTTTATCGTATGACTTTCTGCTAGAATATCACTTGTTTAGGTTACTAATGAAACAAACCTGTAGTGGCAAACAGGTAAATTCTTATGAAGATTTACAGAGAAAGTTCAGGCTGCCACTGTGCATCTAAGGTATCTGAATGAGGCTTTTAGATATGAAACAGGACCTTTGGAAAACCTGTGCTGTCATGGAGCAACAGCTGAAAGGCATATGAAGAATCCGGTCTCATCTCGAGGCACTAGATGCCTGTGTACAGGCAACTGAATTTAGCTCATCCTGTTGCCTATCTTGGGTTCCTAATTTAGATGGGTTGGATCAATACATACAAGGTATTTAGGCTAGGTATAGGTTTTGTGTATCTGTATACTACATTTTTATTGAATTTCTTGAATGGAAAATATTATAATTATAAAGGCAAGAATGTTTAATTCAGCAAACCTCATGCATCACTGATTACATTAATACAGTATGTAGTATATGCATTTTAATTCAAAACCTATACAGTATCTTTGGATACACAGTATTTTAATACATTTATGTATTACTTATGCTTATATGTATGTATACATTTGATTTTTTAGGATGCTGCTTCATTATGCATTTTCTCAACTCCGATCCACTCAGATTGCTACCATTCACTGCAGTGCACAAACTACCTCTCAACATCTTCTACAAAAATTGAGCCAAACTTGCATTGTAATCAGTACAAACACTGGGCGAGTATACAGACCAAAGGACTGCGAAAGGCTTGTTTTGTACTTGAAGGATATCAATCTACCCAAACCTGATAAATGGGGAACAAGCACTCTGGTGGCTTTTCTACAGCAGGTGAAAACTTATTTCTGTTATTTATAAAGAGACTTAAGTATACTGGAAGTAGTTTAGTGTATGTAGTAAATACTTATATTGATTATTTTCAGAGTTAACATCCTGCATCTGTATTGACATCAGTTTTGTTTGTACTTTGATAGAATGTATAGGTGTCAGCCAGAAATAAGATACCATTTTTATTTGGCTTACTTGCATAAGTGCATAAAAACAGTGCTTGCCTCAATGAATTATAACTCAGTAGACATATGAATGACAAGAAAATCAGGAGTAGCCAGCATGGATTCACCAAAGGCAAGCCATGTTTGACCAACTTGATAAACTTCTATGATGAAATGACAGATGAGCGGAGAGCAGTGTATATGGATATTTTGTATGAGATTCAACAAGGCCAAGTGCCAGGTCCTGCACTTCGGCCACAACAACCCCATGCAGTGCTACAGGCCTGGGGAAGAGTGGCTGGAAAGCTGCCCAGCGGAAAAGGACCTGGGTGTGTTGGTCATCCTGGCCTGTATCAGAAATAGTGTGGCCAGTAGGAGTAGGGAAGTGATCGTGCCCCTGTACTCGGCCCTGGTGAGGCCGCACCTCGAATACTGTGTTCAGTTTTGGGCCCCTCACTACAAGAAGGACATTGAGGTGCTGGAGTGTGTCCAGAGAAGGGCAACGAGGCTGGTGAGGGGTCTGGAGAACAAGTCTTCTGAGGAGCGGCTGAGGGAACTGGGGTTGTTTAGCCTGGAGCAAAGGGGGGACCTTATCGTGCTCTACAGCTACCTGAAAGGAGGTTGTAGCGAGGTGGGTGTCGCTCTCTTCTCCCAAGTAACAAGCAATAGGACAAAAGGAAATGGCCTCAAGTTGTGCCAAGGGAGGTTTAGATTGGGTATTTGGAAATATTTCTTCACCGAAAGGGTGGTCAAGCACCAGAACAGGCTGCCCAGGGAAGTGGTTGAGTCCCCATCCCTGGAGGTATTTAAAAGACATGTAGATGTGCCACTTAGGGACATGGTTTAGTGGTGGACTTCGCAGTGTTAGGTTTACGGTTGAACTCTATGATCTTAAAGGTCTTTTCCAACCTAAATGATGCTATGATTGTATGATTCTATTTTATGATATAGTCTACCTGGACTCCACTAAGGCCATTGACGCTGTCTCCCAGAAGATCCTCACAGAAAAGCTGTTGATGTATGGGCTAGATAAGCATAGTGAGGTGGGTTGAAAACTGTCAGAACGGCCAGGCCCAGAGGGTAGTGATCAGTGGCACAAAGTCTAGTTGGAGGCCAGTACATGTTTAACATCTTCATTAATGATCTGGACAATGGGCCAGCGTGTACCCTCAACAAGTTTGCAGCTGACACCAAACTGGGAGGAGTAGTATACCTCTGGCAATTAAGAGAACAGTAATAATGGTGTACTTCTCAATTTTTTTTTTTAAATTTTTTGGTAAGATACTCTGTTGGCTTTCTTTTAATACAATATTTATTTAATTATTAAAGGTCCTTACATATCAAGGATTTTACGATGAAAATCTGGAATGGGTTGGTTTAGAAAACATCCAAATTGTGGCTTCCATGTCTGCTGGAGGAACATTAGGAAGACATAAACTTACCTCCAGATTTACTTCTATTGTTCGTCTCTGTGCAATTGAGTAAGTATGTGGAAATTAGTTTGACTCTAAGAACTCAGACTCAGCCTCTGTTTATAGGACCCTTGCTGAATGTAGTCTTTATGAAGATGTGGCTGTTCTAGTCTTTCATCTTTTTTAACAGTTTAGGATCTTCAGATTTGGTGCTGTTTGGTGCCTCTTGGCACTAGAAACCAGCTAAGGAGCAATCTGTAGCTATCTGTTGATAGTGAAGTGTTTGAAATATGTTTCCTGTTGGATGATTTTGCTTTCAGTAAACTGCTTTCTGCAGCTTTACATTAAGGTGCTGTTTGGTTACAAAATTAGAGAAATTGAAAAGAAGTAAGTTCGTTTGTTTTTAAGTTTCAACACATTTACAGATGTATTTAGAAAATTTCTGAGGGTGGCCTATTGCAATAAAATGATAATTTTACTTAGCTGTTAGATGGAGATGCTATTCATTGGAATTTCTCAGTAATTGTTTATATAACTTTGAATCATTTTAATAAAAAAATTAACAATGATAGTCCATAACAATTACTTTTTTTTTCCTTTGTAGCTATCCAGAAAGAGACCAACTGCAAACTATTTATAGTGCCTACTTGGAACCTGTACTACAGAAAAACCTAAAGAATCACCCTGTTTGGGGTTCTTTACCAAAAATACATCAACTAGCAGGATCTATGGTTCAAGTATATGAACAGGTATGGAAATTTAATTTCTTTTTTCAAGGAGATTTCACAATTTAAAAAAAAAAAAATAATTAGCTTTTGAAATTAACAAGAGAATAAAAAGGTTTATCAGTATTAAAATCTAAGTTTATATCTTTTTCATAATGTTGATATAAATTTTAAAGCTACTTATTTGCAGAGAATCCTAGGTATTAGAGGGAAACTGAGTAAGTGGTAAGTGCTCTTGCTTTCCCACAGATTTATTGTATGATTTTGGCAAGCATCTTAACCCATCTATACTTCAGTTCCTGATTTATAAAAGGTGGATAGTAGTGTTTTCCTACTTACTGGATGAGGATACAGTGTACTTTAAAGATTCTTATGTGCTCAGATGTTATGAATGCTGTTATGAATACAGAAGAGGGATATGAAGGTGGAGTCCCTTATACACATCAAGGACTATCTATTAAAATTTTATACAGTTAAAAATAGGTGCTTAGACACCCAAGTTCTTTTTATCCTCCCACTTAAAATTTTTTGGACCTCTACCTAGCAAAACACTTAAGTACTTGCTTTACTTAATCATGTACATAGCCTTACTGGGGTAGATACTGTGGGGATGTAAGTGCTTACTGTATGTTCCAAGAATGTATGCATGTCCCCATCTAGACAGAACCATGATACAAAACCGATCTTTGTGACTGGAATGCAGGTATAGTCACTGGCTAGCATGCACCAGTTAGCAGGAGTTTCGTATGATATTATCAATGTATTCTAAGAAATCTAAGTTTAAATTTCATCACACAAGGACGAAATAAATGATGAAGGCAGTTATTATTTGAATTAAAGATAGAGTTGTAAATTCAAATATCCTCTTTGGAGGAAGAGTTAGGATTTCTGTAAGTCTTTTGTAGTGACTAAGTGTTACTCATTTAGGTAGGTTTTTTATTACACTTTTATATTTCCTTTGCATTTTATATTTGATATTGCTTTAAAAAATTGTGTTTTGTCTAATAACACTGCACTAACAGTCCTAGGTGACATATGCAGTTGTTGTTTGCATCATGAATGGTGCAGAAGAAAGGTTCTAATTATGAGAAAAATCGTTTGTGCTCAGAAAACAAGATTTTAAATTCATCTCTTCACTTTCAAAAAACCCTAAAGAGTGCATTAATAAAATATCTAAATATATAGTCCTAGTAGAAAACTAATCTATCTGGTATTTTAGAAAAATCTAAAGCTACACTTCCAAGTGCTTTACATTTTAAAACATCACTTGCCCCCCACTTTCTGTTTTTAGGTACGAACGAAATTCACAGTTGATGATCACAGTCATTACCTTTTTACACCATGTATTCTTACTCAGTGGGTTCTTGGTCTATTCAGATATGATTTAGCAGGTGGTAAGTCCCTTATTAGTTTTTCATTTATAAAGCAGTTCTAAAATGGCCTAAATTATTATTTATGTCAGTCTTACTGTTGACTTAACATGCAACCAATTCACTTATGGTACTCTTCCTAAACCGCGAACTGTCTGTAACTCAGCAGAAGGGAAAAAAATGCCTAATAGTTCATTCCGTAACATATAGTAAATAAGTTTAAAACACTCACTGATGTTTTAAAATATGTGTGGGAGCTACTTATAGATTAAGGGAAGTTAGCAGGTTGGGACTGTATGCTCTACTATGGGAACTTGAAGTGTACCCCCTACTCCCCACCATTTTTTTCTGTTTTTTGGAGGGTTTTGGGTTGGGTGGGGTTTTTTTGAGCATATGTCTTGTCTTCTGGACTCCCAGAGGCTTGCCTCTCATGCTTCTCTTTTTATACCTGGTTGTATAAACCTGGGGAGGTTACTGTGGAACTACAACTGATACACATCATCTATGACCTACTTAACAAAAGAAGATTATAACCATCCTTAAACATATAGAAATTTCTAGAAAACTATCTCACCTGTATAAAAGTTTACAGATGTCTATACAAGGATCTAAATATTCTCACAATTTGGGAATGCTTGATAATTACAGTCTAGTCTCAAAGTTCTTCTTTAACTTTGGAAATGTTGAAATTTGGAAAGGTATTCAATTTTGTGTGCTTTTCCAGACAGCATAGGGTTCTTCCTAATATCATTTTTGTCTTTGAAATTGCTATTATGACCAGCTCATGAGCAATTGCTCCTTATTGTGGTTTAGCTCTTACATTAATTAAAGGGTTACGTAGAGGGCTGCTTAAAGAGTATAAAAGTGGTAAGAATGTTACGCTCGTATTCCATTTATTTTATGGGATCATCAGGCGGTATAAATGTAGCTTGAATGAGGTCAGAAAAGCTACACCGACAGTCAAGAATGGGTGATCTCAGCCTGTTAAGGACTCCATTGTTGTATCTGAAGGGAACATATGCATACGCTTTTTCAGTGATGAGCAATATGGCATGTCATTTACTCATTCTACCTTCCTTCTTACTTTTGTGAAGAATATTGAAGCTTCGTATTCTCTAGTGGCATTTTATAATACAGACTGTTTGGGGTATTTATTGTTATTTTAGTATTTATTATTAGCCTTTCTCTTCCCCTTTAGAACAGTCTCCTGGCTTTTTTTATTTTCATTGCCTGGAATTTTGCCTTTTAATTTTTACTTTGTGTGCTACACCTTACTCATTTTTATTAGAATGCCAGCATTAAACTGGAGAACTTGTTTTAATAGAATATGTTTCATTTCATCTTGTAATGATCCATAAAGATATTATTAAAAAGCACTTCATAATGTTTACTTTTTTCTCTTATTTCTTCCTTACTGATGCTCTCCTGCTGGTATGTAATTTCACTTACTCATTTTCAATGTCATATTTTTAAATGGAAAATTTGAGAAATGTAAAATTTATTATAAATATATAAAGTTAAATATATCCTTAAATTTTGTAGGATCATCGATACAAACTGTAGACTATGTATTGGAAATTGTTGTTTACGAAGCACGTCGTTTGTTCCGTGACAAAATTGTTGGCATAAAAGAACTCCATGTATTTGATAATGTTTTGATGAAAGTGTTTCAAGGTGATTGGGGCTCAGATGTTCTGGACAATATGGCAGGTAAACCATTTGAGGCTTACTACACAAACTTGAAATATTTTTTTAGGAACTGCCTAATCAAATCAGTCTGATCAAGTCAGATAGCATATGAGCTGAGCACCTAAACTTTCGAATGTTTCCTTTTATTTTCACAGATATCTTCTATGTAACTTGGGGATCTTGTCAAGAGGCATTCATTACACCAGGACAGGCACTACCACCACATGGGAGGCCACTTGGCAGACTAAACTCAACAGACCTGAAAGATATTATTCAAAAAGTGAGACAAGATTAAAGAATATACACAGCAAGGATTCACAGCAATTATTCTAGATGTTTTTTACAGGAAGTAACATGTGAGCACCAGGTTTAGGGTGGGGTCTGCTGCTTGTTCGAGGAATCATCTTTTGCATTTGGTCAAGTGAGGGAAGGTTCGTGATGCTCTGTGGCAGGCAGTAGGAAGTATCATGTAGCAAGGTTATTTTAACAAAAGGGCATCAGTCACATTTGCTGGTGATTTACAACAGTTCGATGAACAACATTTTGGGAAACATTGATGAGCATATATGTTTGTGTATTGTTTGAGTACCAAACTGTTTTATTAAATGTTTACTTTCTGAATTTGTAATTTTCTAATGTAATTTTTATTTGAAGAAATAGAAATGGTTTGTTTGGAGATTTGGCATGCTTTTAAACAGTAAAGTACAAAAAATGAGCTTGATGAGGAAATGCAAACATGTTAACTCTGCTAGGCTGACTGATTTTCAGGATAAGAGCTTTGAGATCATCTCCCCTTATTAGTAGTGTTTGATGGACTGCTCTTGTAGATAGGAAACTACTCCCTCTCCTTAATTGCCAACTTGTGACCAATAGACTATATGGGAAATTATGAAGTTCAATAACCTCAGTAATCAGAGTTTGGGTTTTTTTCCGACTACACAATTACATTGGGCTTCAAAGATGAGGCTTTATTAAGTATAAAAAGGCCAGAATTTAATCTTAGGGTCTGTTATTATATGTGTTTCACTAGGAAATTCCATAATCTGCAATTATGCAGCAATTAGCTGCCTAAAACACTCTTCTAAGTTATGCCAATATTAATTACTCTCTCTTGTGAGAGACAGCTCAGACTTTGTTCTGGTCCAGTATTTAATTTCAATTAATTCAGTGGTAGATTTCTATTTCAATATATCAAAGACTAATAGGTTATCCTGGTGCTGGGGGTAACATGATCTGTTCATTACTGGTAAAGGGTATGAGAGGTATCTAAATTCTGTCACATAAATAATTTATTTGTAATGAATCCCAATGTGGTCTCTTAAGCTTTCAAGCCCTTCTTTTCTAAAATTTTAAATGTTGGATGCTTTTATATCTTACTGCTTTTATTTATTATTAGTGAACGCATTTCTTTTTTTTCTTTTTTAATAGGGTATTATTCATTATGGGCGAGACAAAAAAGAGTTAGAGATTTTACTGTTCCAAGAAGTCCTCAGTTATATGTCTAAAGTGGACAGAGTGCTAAGTTTTCCTGGAGGATCACTTCTTTTGGCAGGACGGAGTGGTGTAGGTCGTCGAACAGTTACCTCTTTAGTTAGTCATATGCATGGAGCTGTTCTGATTACTCCCAAAATTTCCAGAGGCTATGAGCTGAAGCAGTTCAAAAATGATCTTAAATATGTAAGTCACTCAGTGTCTTCCATTTTGTAGTGTTGTAGGTGTGTATTAAAAAAAAAACCACAGGAATTTTGAAGGACACAAAAGTGTTGTGTGAAGAGATATTTTAAGAAAAGCAAAATGTCAACAGTCTAAATGAAACAAGTAGCGTTTTAGAAGTTCTCAGTGTTTAGATGTGCATACTGTTCTTTATAGTAATCACCTGAAACTCTACTTTTTTGAATACCAGAGCTGTTTTTATGAGTGTTGTGGACTTCATAAATTCTAAGTTTGTGTGAATTTTGGAAAGGTTTTTTCATGTATATATTTTCATATTTGTATATATTTTCATATTCTGTCTCTACTGTGGCCTGCCAGTTAATAGGATAGTAGCTGAATCAAGTAAAATTTTAGTGATTGATGAAAGTGTACATATTCTTTAAAAACAAATGCAAACCTTGAATCAGGAGTTTCCCAGTACCTTCAGCAATGCTGAAGAAAATTCTAGAGCTAAGCCCACACAAAAGAGAGATACAACTCTAAATTGAATCACATCTGGAACATAAATATACTCTTTGAAAGAGTCTGTTTTAATTATTTCATTACCAAGCTGTACATCCAGGTAGAATGTTCTTTATATTTGGTATCTCATATAACTGAATCACTTAGTAATCTTTTGTGAAAATATAACAGTTTAGATGCTGTGGAGAAAATACGTATGTAATATATAATCAAGGAAAGATTATAATTCTCTTATGAACAATACGTATATTCCATATACTGAGATTTAAATGTCTTCCCTGCTTCTAGGTGATGGAGCTTGCGGGCATTGAAGCACAGCAGGTGGTATTGCTGCTCGAAGACTATCAGTTTGTTCATTCCACGTTCCTTGAGATGATCAACAGTTTACTGTCTTCAGGTGAGACAAGACCAAAAAGATTATGGTACTACTTTTACCACACAGAGTTAGCTCAATGAGGCAGAATTAGATGACGTTTTCTAACTTCATGTCCATACCAGAAGTGTTAGTTAGCTTTCTACACTGTTTTGGCTAGAGTGCTTGTACATGAGAAACTGACTTGAAGTTCACCTAGCTATCTTTTAACCTACCTTACAGTATGGGTTCTTTCAATTCCTCAAAGTTGCAAGTTAAGTAACTCATTTCAAAGGAGTTCTTTATAATAGTGTAACAACAAAATAATTATGTATTCTACTCTACAGCTTCCCTTTTCTAATAAAATTCAAAATTGAGAGGTGTCCCAATGTTTTACTAGATTGTATAGACTGAGTACTTTACCTAAATGAACACCAGCAAAGCCCGCTTTTCTGAAGGTAATGAGATGATAAATAATAATAACAAATAACAAAAGTGACTTTATTTTGTTATCTAGCTTTGTTCCTCAATCAGAGAGATCATTGAAGGACTGAGCCTAACTTACTAAATGTTTTTTGGAACTACAGTAGTTTAAGAGCTGATTGATAAGAGCACCGGGTTTTCCTGTCTCTCAGGTGCAAATCCAAGTCTCCTTACAGTATCAGATTCTCATCATCCAGTGTTAAACCTCTATGTCTGAGGACCTAGATAACTAGTCTCTTTCATTTTTCTGTTTTCTGGTGTATAACAAAGTCTGGTATGATTTGGTTTCTGTGCAGTATTGGATCACTGTCTTTGGGTAGATTTGAAGGAGTTTTTGAAGTATATTTCAGTAATATAAACAAAGTAGGCTGTTTAAATTAAATGGAATCACTATAATTTGGTTTGTTGTTTTCATGATATCATGAAAAGAATGATGAAGTACATGGAATGATACTCATGAAAGCATGGAGGTGAATACTGCCATACTCAAATTCTCTATACGGAGAATTCAAGGGAATCCTTCAAAGGAATTGGAAGACTTATAGTGTATTTGATCTGACATTTTAAATTCATTCTTCAAATAGGAGAAGTTCCTGGGCTATATAAAATAGAAGAATTAGAACCACTGCTATCTCCTCTGAAGGATCAAGCTTCACAAGATGGATTTACAGGACCGATTTTCAACTATTTCACATACCGTATGTGAACAGAATTATAAGTTATAATTTATTACAAGGTTACAAAAGTGGTGTAATAATGGATAAATAATTTCTAACATGGTCCTTGTTTTGTGTGCTTTTTTAACTTTCAGTTAGTTATTAAAAACCAGGCAGGAATAATGATGACATTGTGATATTTGAGGGCACAGAACCCTCAGCTTAAAATTCATTCTTCTATCTGAAATTTTGTATCCATGAATGTTCTACAAAGCTGTTATGAAATCTGCTGTTGAAAGTAGTTACAAGGAAGAAAGCTTTTGTCCCCATCATTTTCTGGTTTGTTTAGCTTATATATCTAGTAACAGAGTTTTCTTCTATTTGTCAATTATACCTGTGAATCATTTTGGATTCTGAATAGTCATAAGCAAGTTTACAGATAGGTTTCTTAATTATTTGTGTTTCTTCCTTAGACCAACAAGAAGATTAAATAGTTTACAAATAAATAGAAGAATGTGACTGAAAGAATACAGATATTGGCAGTCATACTCAAGGACCCTGGAAGCGCTTCTAATTGGTTCTATTGGTCTATATTGATTGGAATGAACTAGTGGTAACCATTTAAATACTGTCACCTCTTCTAAATTAAAAAAATACACTGTAATATACATAATGAGAATCCATGATATTAAATTTATTTTTTAAGTTCTGTTTATAAACATTCCTGCCCTAGTGTGATGTGGTGTAATAGTATCTTTTTTCAGAAATTACATTGTGATAAGTATTTGAAGGACAGTGAATTAATTACATTTGCAATAAATCTACCATCATGTAGTCAGATAGTTATCTACTAAATATTTAATATGTTGCATTTTCTTAGGGATCCAACAAAATCTGCATGTTGTCTTGATCATGGATTCTACCAATTTAAATTTCACAATAAACTGTGAAAGTAATCCAGCACTGTACAAGAAATGTCAGGTTTTGTGGATGGAAACCTGGTCAGAAAGCAGTATGAAAAAGGTAAATTGCATTAATTGAAAACTGTGACTTGTTTAAACGAGTATCTCCAAAAATAACTAAGCTTTGGTGAATAAGATCAAAATATTTAAAGTTGTGAAGGAATAATTTTCACTGTGCTTATTTAATCCATTTGTGCAGTCCTACAAAGACAGAAGATTCTGCAGAATGGTTAAGTAATATTAGCATTGTTATTTTACCAGTGACATGTTTTGTTCTCTCTATGGGCTGACTTGAACAAAATGCTGATTACTATGACTGATCAAACGCAACATTTAAGAACAAAATACAACTAGGCTGCAAACAAAATGTTAGTGTCAGCTATGCTGATGATATCTGCTGTTACTGGTATGCATGAAAGCTAGTGTAAAAATAAGTTTGCTATGTGTTCTAAGATTGCACTGTAAGCCTTATGTTATTCTTGAATCTTTCTTAAGTGTTTTGCTTGATGGAACGGAGTCAGTGTGTTCTTTTTAGGATCAAATTCTGTTTATTTCAGGATATTCACAGTATAAGTTTGAGGAAGATATATATTACTTCTATATGTTAAGAGATTGCCAAGTCCAGTACCCTGACAGGGGCAAGGCTACCACAGCTTCACGGCCCCAACTTGAACCAGTGGTGAAGCTGAGCATGTAGTCCCAGTAGGCACACACACAAACACACATATACAGCGCATATATACATGTGATTGGCCACACAGAACAACACAAACAGCACCATTGGCATCATCCTGTTCCCCTCTCTGAGTGATCACAATGAAGGTCCATTAGTGGGAAATATATACTTACGCAGAATGTGGATCCCCCTACTAGCTGGGCATAGACACACAACCCCTCCAGTAGTTGCCTCTGGATCTCCCGGTCTCCCCAGTTGCTGGCATCTGGATGTACAAGCCCCTGAGGCTGCAGCCCCACTCCAGCTGCTGGTACAGGATGCCTCACTGGGCATGCATACACACACACACACACACACACACACACACACACAGAGTGGATCCTTCCAGTAACTGGGCTTAGACATCCAGTCCATCCAGTAGCTGGCCTTGGATCTAGGATCTCCCCATTGCGTCCTGCACAGGCAGATATGCATACATGTACACACACACAGACACATGCAGCCGGGTCTTATTTGACTCCCAGGCTCCACAGTCTCTCAGGCAGTTGGCCTAGACCTTCTAGTCCCTCTGGCAGACAACTCCTGTGGGTGCCTCACCAACCCATAGTTGTGCAATCTGAAATGCTCTTCCACTGCATCCTGTAATGTGTCCCAGGCCTCCTATGCAGTAACACCCTCAGTCTAGTCTGTAAGGTAATCTGGCCTCTTCCATTGACTCATCACGATGGGTTTCACACTTGTACCACGGAGTTGGTCGCTCCCCTGGGAGAGCCATGGGAGCAGCTGGCACAGAGTGTCCATTTCTGCCTGGGCTACTGGGGCTCCTCCACCTGCCGTTGTGTCTCAGTTTCAATGGCAGGTTGTACTGAAAGTTCTTTTTGGGAAAAATGTTTGGACCAGCTCTGTCCACAGTTAAAAAATGTTTTTCAGAGTATTTTCACTTTCACTTCAGTAGGGATTTTTGGTTTTTAAGTAGAGTCTTATAAGTTAGTCGTATGCCAGAACCTTTGAATATACTTTGTTTATTTTTACAATTGTACTTAAGACTGTCTGATTTCCTGTTGAGTTGTATATCTTTTTACATCTTTGACATTTGTCTTATTGTAAGTCCTCTGAGAATTAGTTGCTCTTTTTTACAGCCAGCAAAAACTCCTCTGCTTGAGACAACAGGAAGTTATCAGTTACAGGAAAAGGCAGAATTGATCTTTTTAATGCTATAAATATTCTGTAAGTACCTTATTCTGAATAAAGCTATCATAGTCAGTCTTTTCAAATGAAAAACTAAATTAAAAATATTTTCTAAGTTTCATCAAGTGTTTGATTAGGCCACGGGAAAAAAAGCTTTGTGTGTATCTGTTACGACACCTTTATCTTGGCTGATATTGGGGTTGCTGGTATTCTTGATTCACCATCCGTCTTTTGATGTGCATTGTGAAGTCTCACCTGGATGTCTTTTAACATGGCTTTGCAGCATCCTGGTAGCAGATCGTAGCCGGCATTTTTGCCATGTTTAGACTTTTCAGATAACTGCTGTGTTCTGGAATCATACTTCACCTCTGGCTTCAGTTTTTCATGCATATGTTATTGTCTACCATACGCTGATGACAGGGGTGTAACTCTCCCACTCTGATGCTCCATTTGCAGTGTTGGTTTTGTTGCGGTGCCTGGCATAGGTTCAGGACTGAGTTACTCCACGCTTTCTAAAATAGAATTGAAGACTGAAATCACTGTTGACTGAGTTGGTTGACTCAGACACATGCAACAGTTTTGCAGGTTCTCTGGCATGATACAAATGTGCTTTTCTTCTTCTCATAAATATGTCTGGTTTTGTTCCAGAGCTCAGGAGCTGAGTGCAGTGCAGCACTTGTAATAATAATAATAATAATAATAATAATAATAACTCTATCCCAGCTGAAACCAGGACAATGATTAGCCCTCACTAATCTGCAATTAATTTTGCAGGCTTTTCCAAACATCAGTGAAATATTTTACAGCTTTGAAATAACTTCAGTATATTTCTTTCTGAGGAATGTGTATTTCAAATGTAATTACATGTTTCCGTGAGAGTACTTTGAAAAAAGTATATTCTTTGTGATATTTTGAATGTCCTTAATTCACATCTCAAATACTATATTCTGTTGCTCTTTCTTAGTTATTTTAATGTGAGATAAGAATAAGTATTTTATTAACTGTGTAACAAATTATGTTGTACAGGTGATTCTGATTTTCTGAAGTCATTTCTGGCAATCCATGAATCATGTAAAATGTATGGAGCAACGCCTAGCAGGTATATGACATTCCTTCATATATACAGTACCATCAATAACAGTAAAAGAAGAGAGCTGATAAAAAGGCAGAACCACTTGCAGGTATGTATTTAAAACATTTTTAACATACAACTTTTCAAAATACTCTCACATTTGGAAATGCCTTGTCTATTAATGGGCTGTGGCTGCTAACATGGTTGTGTGGTGCGTCCTCTATTGGCATATGCTCATGCTGTGGTTTCAGGAGAGGAATAGTATGAATCTTAATGCACATCTCTGTTCAAATGCCTCAAAGAATGAAGAGTGGTTTCTTGTTTTCGTTAATATTTTTCCTCAAGAATGTATCAGACTGGGTATGTTTTCTTAGAAGAGTAAAAAGTACTTGAAAGCACTTTAAATTTTTTCACCCATATGTATTGGAATTCTGTTGCAAACAACCCATCATCTTTCCATCAATTTAAGTCCTGCCTCTGCTTGTATACATTTTCCCCATGTAGCTCCATATTCCATCCCTTTCTTTATATCTCTACAGCAACTTCCTGCTTTGTGTGATTCTTGCATCCTTCTAGTTCAACAAGCTGTTATCTTTAACTTCATGGTGCTCTTGTGTAGCTTTGGCCAAGGTTCCCTTTGTTGTGATTTTCTCTCATTTTGTGTTTTGGAATTGATTTCAAATTCCTTTTCCACACATCAAACCTTTACACAGTTATAGACCAAATGCAGTTCATCTCATAGGTGTTGGTTTACTCCTGTTCTGTATGCATAACATGCTTATTTTTGAAACCTATTTGCTATCTTTCCAGTCATATTTCCTTCCCTCCCCCCCCCCCCCCCCCCCCCAGTATACTTCTAGAAAGACCTGTATGATCCTTTAGGACATGTAACTTTTGTCTTTACCCTTTTCCCTTCCCTTTCAGCTCCTTTTCCCAGTGACCCTTGCTGCTATTCTGAAACCACACTTGCAAAGCTGCATTTCTTCTTAAAGCATCTGTCAAAATCAAATTACTTCCTTGCCTTGTATTCTACACTTTTTATTCTGCCTGCCAATGTTTTTCCATCACTGTAGTAAGCAATTTAAGAAGATTTATGTTTGTAATGATAGAAATTGCTTTTTTATTTATTTAGAAAGTAGCTGTGGTTTGTTTGTGACAAACACTCATTTACTTGTTAAATGCTCTGGTTAAATAAAAGTACTCATGTACCTGAAAGTGAGAGATGTGTATCCTAAATCAAAACATCTTCCAGGTAATATTTTTTTTCAAATATATCTTGAAATAATTCTATTATCTGATTATCATGGAATAAATAATTTAGAAAGTGTGAATAAAGAAAATAGTTAATCTTAAGCATAATTGAGGCTTTCTTTTACGTACATCTATGTTCTTTAGAGAAGGTACAAATATGTAGAAATAGGATAATCTAGTTTGTTTCAATTTGTTTAATTTTTGTAGATTTGCTTTTAGAGGGGATATAATTATATGGAGTCAATATCAGTTAGCTGAAATGCTATTGAATTAATGAGAAAAAAACGATGTACTAGCTGCTGTTCCACTAAAAGTTTGTTATTTTGAGTTTTGAGAATTTCGTTTTCAGATGTAGTAATAGATCTTACAGCGACACATCTAGAATCAAATCTCATCATTTTTGGGTTAAATTATACTATGAAAATGTAAATAATACTAAGAAAATGTGGAACATAAATTAAAAAATTAAGACTATTAGTCTACATCACTCTTAGTTTGTGCATACTATTTGTAACCAACCTTCATTTAAATCTGTTTCAAATTCATTGCTAAATAACTGCTTCTTATAAACTTTTTATAGGCAGGTGTTTCAAAGCTGAATGAAGCTAAAGCCCTGGTAGATGAACTGAACAGAAAAGCTGGAGAACAAAGTATTTTACTCAAAATGAAGCAGGATGAGGCTGATGCTGCCCTTCAAGAAATTACAGTGTCTATGCAGGTGTTGTATACAAGCACATCAAAAGTGAAAAAAAAAGAGATGTTTTTCTATTTTTGGTCTCCATAACTGCCTGTTCTTTGTATTCTTTTCAACGATTACAAAATGTGATGCTTTTACAAGAATTAGCCTAAGGGAATGCACGAGCCCTGAGGCTTGAATAAACTTGCAGCAGGACAGAGGATTATATAATTTAAATCATATTTGAACTGATTGAGTAGGAAGAGATCAGTGCAAGCTTTGCACCTGAGTAGTATTTACTGCTGTAGTTTAGTCTGAAAGTTTTCCTAGAACTTAATAAATCCAGACTGATCCATTTTAATGTTTATTACAGATAGGAACTTCCAACAAAATACTGACACGTAGCACTATTTTAAGTAACAAATACCAGGAATTAAATTTGCGGACTATTAGAAAGTATGTATTTCATGAGTCCTGTGAAGTTAACTTCAAGGAAGGTTAAACAATAATAAATACCTAAATAAATAAATAAATAAATACCTCTGGGGTCATCACTCCTTGAATTTTTATTCTTCTGCTCAAAGGTAGACCTTCTGTTTTTTGGGGAGGTAATTTTCTTTAGTAGTGTTTTTTCAGTTAAGTAAAATAATTGTGCAGAAAATAGATCTCTACATTGATACTTCCAGAAATCATAAATGTAGGATAAGCCATAATGAATCTGCTGTCACTGCACTGTTTTGTCACTGGTTTAATCTGATCGGTCTGAAGCAAACTTAAATAAAGAAGCTCAATGACAAAGACATTCTCTGTATGCAGTAAAGTAGATGCCTGCTCTTTCAAACCATTTGGTTCACAGTGCTTTAAAGGTGCATTACTTCCCATTTTTTTAAGTCTACTTCCGTTGGCAGTTTTTAATACTTTTAGCCTCTATCTGCCTACTATACATGAATTTGAATAATGATGATTGGCTTGGTGTGTTTGCTGCTGGCTTCAAATAATTTATTACGCCATTTTCTCTGATTTCTGGTTTTTAATCTGTCTGCTGTTGTCCAGTAGAGTTACAGGTTGTGTGGGTAGCACATATTACATTGTAGGACAAAATCAAAGAATAGAACAAAAGCAATGAAACATGATGGGCCCACTGACATCAGAAAAATTACAGTAGAATTCTGATTATTTAGATCAGCATAAATTATAGGTGCCCTATAACATTTTAATGTCACTTCAAATGTTCCAGTTTATGTAAGAGAGAGGGCTCTAATACATACAGACTCTTTTAATCTTCTTTCAGAGCAAGGCTTTTGACCTACAACTGAATTTTAAGGTTTTCTTATTCAGAGCTATCGTTCAGTACATGTACATTTGCATGAAATGTCTAAGCTAGTTTTATGTAGTTAATGTTTTATGGATTTGAATGTAATCTTCAATGACATGCTGGTCTATAGCTTGGGTTAAGTGCTCAGAAAGTTTATGATTAATCTCAAGGTTTTCTCTGTTTATGTACATCTGTTTCACTGCACTGTTTTGTCACTGGTTTAATCTGATCGGTCTGAAGCAAACTTAAATAAAGAAGCTCAATGACAAAGACATTCTCTGTATGCAGTAAAGTAGATGCCTGCTCTTTCAAACCATTTGGTTCACAGTGCTTTAAAGGTGCATTACTTCCCATTTTTTTAAGTCTACTTCCGTTGGCAGTTTTTAATACTTTTAGCCTCTATCTGCCTACTATACATGAATTTGAATAATGATGATTGGCTTGGTGTGTTTGCTGCTGGCTTCAAATAATTTATTACGCCATTTTCTCTGATTTCTGGTTTTTAATCTGTCTGCTGTTGTCCAGTAGAGTTACAGGTTGTGTGGGTAGCACATATTACATTGTAGGACAAAATCAAAGAATAGAACAAAAGCAATGAAACATGATGGGCCCACTGACATCAGAAAAATTACAGTAGAATTCTGATTATTTAGATCAGCATAAATTATAGGTGCCCTATAACATTTTAATGTCACTTCAAATGTTCCAGTTTATGTAAGAGAGAGGGCTCTAATACATACAGACTCTTTTAATCTTCTTTCAGAGCAAGGCTTTTGACCTACAACTGAATTTTAAGGTTTTCTTATTCAGAGCTATCGTTCAGTACATGTACATTTGCATGAAATGTCTAAGCTAGTTTTATGTAGTTAATGTTTTATGGATTTGAATGTAATCTTCAATGACATGCTGGTCTATAGCTTGGGTTAAGTGCTCAGAAAGTTTATGATTAATCTCAAGGTTTTCTCTGTTTATGTACATCTGTTACCTTCTGCTACAAGTTCAACTCAGCTCGACAATTGCTGGTTATAATAATGTGTTATATACTGGAAAATACATAAAAATGCAAACTCTGGACTTTCTTGTCTTGTATCTTTTAGGTGAACTGAGCCTAGAATATTAGTCTTTTATTTTATGCATTTATCCTCAGTTATTTGTTTTGTAACTGGTATTGGTAGTCCCTGGGTTTTTTGTTTGTTTTTTTTTGTTAACTTCAGGAGATGTAAGATCCTTTTTGTTGTAGTTTTATATATTAGGTATTTATTGTTGTACTGAAGTGCTTAGGACTCCTGGAGATGGCTAATAGCTACTGTCTGCTGTATGGTAGGCACAGTACAAATCCAGGAAAAAAAAGACGTAAACCCAAACAGCTTACAATATATGTGGAGGACATAAGACAGGTATCCTTACAGACAGATGGGTGCAAATTTATAAGTAAATAATGTATTAGTATTTTTAGGCTAATTGGCTGTAGTTCCAACATAACTGCTGCTTTTATGAACATTATAGAAAAGGAGAGTTTTAGTGGTGTCATGAAAGAAATAGAAATGTGAGCAGCTACAAAGACAATGTCAGGAAGATATTACTTTCAAATGTAGTAAGACTGTTACAGAGGCTGTCACTCTTACCCATTTAGAGGAGGACTGACATCTTTATAAGGAATGGAAAATCAGAGGCAAAGAGAAAAAAGGTCATAATGAGTCTCAAAAATAGAGGTACAGATCTTGTCTGTGGTAAAGAAAGGGAAGGAGACACATTAAAAGCAAAAGATGCTTATTCTATATAATTTAATTCCATAAATATAAGCTTAAGCTTATATATATATAAAAAAGCATAAATGCTTATGTATTTTTTTGAATCAACCTGTCTAGTATCAAACAGTCTCAGATTTTTTTATTGTAATTGGTATTGTGCAAATTATATTATAATCAAGACTAAAATAAATGAGACCTAAAGGAATAAAATCTGTGTAAATTTGAAAACTAAAGGTATTTCTTTTTTTTTTACAGAGTGCTAGCGAGCAAAAAACAGAAATGGAAAAAATAAAACACCGGATAGCAGAAGAGGCTGCAGAAATAGAAGAAAGAAAAAGAAAAATTGAAGATGAACTAAAAGAGGTTCAGGTAAGAGCTGATAAGGAAAAGTAATATTTTGCAGTCTGATTTTATTTGACTTGCTCAAATCCTGCCATGAGAAATGGTTCTGCAAAATTTATCCCTGCATTTCTTAAATTTTGCTCTAAATTATTTTGATATTAAAACTTTTATGCATTAGAAAACAGTATTCTATTTGCCAGATTTAGATTGTCATTTTGGCATTTGTGTTCTATTAGATCTTAATTACAGAAAGAATTTTCAGGCCAAATCTTACCTCCAGTTGCTATTTCTATGCTGCCATGATCTACAGCTGGGTTCTGCAGATTTTATGGAATGTTTTTCAATTACTAATACCTTATATAGACCAACTACATTACTTCGCCTTGGTCAAGCTGGTAATATCATAGGGCTTGGTACCATCAGCTGAATGGAAATAGTTTAATGAAGATAATTTCCAGTAATTACTAAATTCTGAAAATTATATATCCTAAAGGCGCTTTAGCAAACTGCTTGTTCAAGACACCTTACAGCTGTTAAGCATCAGGTTTTTTGGGAGGTATGTGTTCAGTTATTGCTTTTAGTCTCTATTTTTCATCCCATCCATTTTAAAATCGTACTAAAGAATAAGGGAAAATTACAGCAACTTATTTTTTTTCCTTTTAAATATCATACGTGCCAAGGAATCATATCCTTGTATTGAAAGTGACATAGAACTACAGAATTAGGGTAAATCCCTTCCTGTGGTCTTTGATAAATATGAAGGATGTGCAAGGTGTGCACAGTCTTTAATGATAATCTTTAACTTTCTTCTGTTTTTTTATAATTTTGTTGCTTTATTGATCCAGGCTGTGTGGATTTGTTTAGCTACTGAAAAAAGAAAGCTTTTGTGACCTGTACTTCCACGTATCTTTACAAAGATATTCTCAGACATGCCTATAAATAGTAATTAGCATCATTATTAAAACATACCTGTATCACAATGAACTTTTAAGCAATGAAAGAGCAAGCAAACATGCTTGATACTAATATCTATATAATGTTTATGAATTAAAGTGCTGAACGAAAAGTTAGGGAATGTCAGGATTGTAATATGCTGTTTTATATGGAAATATATTTATTATAACTTAATAAACACATGGCGATTTTTTAATAACCTGTGCACATAAATATGCATCAATGGCACTTGGTTAGGTAATAAAATATGTAAAAAGAACAGAAATTGTATGAAAACTGAAATAGGAAATGTTCAATTTCTTGTATCCTCATCTCTTTTTTTAATGTGTTTTTATGCTTTAAGCCACTGGTTAATGAAGCTAAATTAGCAGTTGGAAATATAAAGCCAGAGTCTTTGTCAGAAATCCGGTCACTACGAATGCCCCCTGACATAATCAGAGACATACTAGAAGGCGTTTTACGGCTGATGGGGATTTTTGATACATCATGGGTGAGCATGAAGAGGTGAGGATTTTATTTAAACTTTAAACTTAAACAGTAATTTACAATATGAAATACTTTGTTATATTCAGGAATAATGCGTGTGCAGAATTCTTCGGTTTCATAGGGAAATAACCACTTTAACATTTGTTTCTTCTTTCCTTAGTTATTTAATTCTTTTTACAGTTTCTTGGCCAAAAGAGGCGTGAGGGAGGACATAGCAACCTTTGATGCCCGTAATATTCCAAAAGAAATACGAGAGAGTGTTGAAGAACTTCTTTCTAAAAACAGAACATCTTTTGATCCAAAGGTAATTCCTGATTGCATTACATAAAATGAAAAAAGACAAAAAGACATGATTGTCTGATTTGCCAACATAATTTTTAGAATGAATTTAAATTAGAGAAAAAGTGATGAATTCTGCTTACAGAATTTGTCAGTATAAAGAGAAGAAAGTGTAGCAGAGATTACTCTGTTGCGTACTGCCTCTATCAGTGAGAATTTTGTTGGTCACTGAGGAGTGGTGGGATGAGAATTCATTATGGAGTCAAGTCCTCAGAGATTTTTGTCACCGGTATAAATTAGAACTCGGATCAAGGAATTGTAACTGGCTCCCTCTGGCCTCCTTGTAGCAGTAAGAGTCTTAACAGTTCACTTAATTAAAAAAAGGGGGACCAATAATGATTAAATGTATTAATATTAAATGATCTTGAGAATTGATTTGGCAGTAGCTATAAAAAAGGAATTCTCAAATACTAGTTCCTTATTTTTAAAAGGAAAGTTGTAGTTACCTGAGAAGGAACACACTGATAAATTATGCATTAATTTAAAACTTCTTAGCTTCAGTGAAGCTTCATAGTTGTAAAGGCCAGATTGATGGCCTACAATATAATCTCTTAGTAACAATTTAGAAGATTAGTTCAGTAGAGGAGCTGGCTAATTGGCATATTTAAGTTGATAACTTGTAAATCTGTTGCAGTTATTTATCCTGTATTTATCCCATCTACATTATAATTCAAGGACTTCCTTGTAACTGTTACTGATTTTTTCAGAATGCTAAACGAGCCAGTGCGGCAGCTGCTCCATTAGCAGCTTGGGTGAATGCCAATGTCCAGTATTCCCATGTCCTAGAACGAATTCAGCCTTTGGAAAAAGAAAAGGCTGGCTTAGAAGCGTAAGTTAGACACTGTTATAAAATAAATGTTCTTAATTCCAGTGGTGGTGGGTGAAATTAAAGCTGCCAAGGAGGAATTGAAGTTTATTAAAAACAAAAGATACAAGAAACCATACCTCATCCATAGGTAATAAAATGTTCATGCTGAGACAGAAAAAGTAAGTGTGCAATATTTTGTTTTTCCTGGAAGCTATGCCTTGGATATTTTTTGGCCAATCACAAGTTACCTGTCTCAGCTGAAATGTGTCAGGGAGAAATGAACATCACAGATATGCTTAAAATGTATTCTGTTGTGAAACTCATGTTATTTTATGAGATACATAGTTCCTCTTTTTTCAGTCATGTACCAAGCATAACCAGTTTCTCCTTAGGATCAAAAAGAAATGACATAGTCTTATGACCATCCATAACCTGAGGAATCTGTACTGATTGTTTTGCCAGGTCGTAAAATTCTGTATTGGAAGAATTTGTTCTGATCTTTAAGAATATATTTGAATGGGGTGTTTGGTTTCCATTTTTAAAGCTATATGATGAGAAGTAGTCAAAACTTTTACATGTGAAAAGAGATTTTTGTTAATATAAATCACAAGAAAGAACTGTCTCTGAACTATCTCTATGTAAATGACTTTCCTGTTACATTTACTCTTTTTTTTTCATTTGGTTCCATAGTCTTAAAATAAATGTTACTTTTTTGTAGTAATCTCAAGAAAACTGAAGACAGAAAACAGAAGTTAGAAGATCTTCTGAACTCTGTTGGTCAAAAAGTATTGGAACTGAAAGATAAGTAAGTTGGGTTTGTTTATGTCAAGATATAAATAAGAACATTGATGATTTTATGGTATGAATAATGAAGTTTATCTAACCAAATGTAACTCCTTGCTCTGCAAGATATTTACATCCGAAGTAGTGACAAGTAGGCTATCTATACACTCAGTGGAGATAAATAAATACTGTTAGAATACAGTTCATCTCATCGATCAGATGAAATGCTCCTTAAAAATACCTGCTTCTCACTACTGACTGTGTTGAAAGCCTTCAGTGTAGACATTGTAGATGTCATAGATAAGCAGTATGTCTCTCACCTTTTAAATCTAAGAGGACTTTAATGTCTCCTTAGGACTTTGCAAATATTCCTATACAAGACTCCCACTGATCACAGCTTGAATAAAGGCAGCTCTATTTCTTTTAGGATGGCCTACTTTTCTGACAGTTAGCTAGTTAGCGATCTCCTTTTTTTCTTAGTTACAAATGTATAGTATGGCATTGAGCCTGCTATTGTCCTGACTAGGTGCAGGACAAAACTTAACACAATCACTAAAATCAAGTCAGGCTGTTTAAGTAGATGAAGGAATGATTTTCAGACATTATAGTCTATATTGCAAATGTATTTTTAGATCTCACCTGTGCATCTATCTAAATTTTGTTAGTTAAAAGTCTAACAAGCTCATCTGCCAATTAGAAGCAGAAGGTATAAAAAAAGAATTATAGTTGTGTTCTTCATGAACAATAAAGGAGGAATTAATGCCAAATTCAGTCAATTAAACTGCCTTGAAAATAACTGTCCATAAGTTTAGTAGTTCATGATAGCAATTACAAACAGTAGTTGTCTTACAGGTTCCAGAGTAGAACAACAGAAGCAGCAAAACTTGAAGCAGAACTAAGTAAAGCTCAGAAAACATTGAAAGCTGCAGAGGTACTGATAAATCAACTCGATAGGGAACACAAAAGATGGAGCACCCAGGTTAGTGACATTTTTCATAACTACATCTTATAGCTGATAATTTGAAAATACAATTTTTGCACTGTTTGGAGAATGTGAGTTGTTGCCATTCTGCATGTCTCCTAAGTGTACATTTATTTGATTTCTCATTAGAAATAAAAGCTTTTCTTCCTTCTGAAACTTCCTTTTACTTCACTGTACAAGTTACCTTACCTATATCACATAGCTACAGAATGTGTAAAAAACCCCTAATATTTAATATAGAACATACAATGTTCTTTGACATTTTTCAATCACAATAATAACGTAATTGTTATGATGGCTGAACATGTCAGCAGTTGGACCCTCCAAATTGAGATACAATCAAAAGAGACAGATTTGGGGAAAGCATTAAACAATCACAGTCTTAAAACATATCTCCTTTATGGCATCGATGTTGGAAATGCAAATGTAGACCTACCCAAAATGTTGGGTTGCTTTTGAAGTCTTCAGTTATGTCTTTGAAAGTTTTCTACTTCTAAAGTAGGGAAAGTGAACATATCTTATTTGCTCAAATGATATATTTGGGAGAAACTGGCAAGCCTTTGGACACACAGGCCCTTCTTCAGTCTGAAACAGAAAGGAAAATTTCAAGATATATACAAGCTGAAAAAAGCTGTCACCTCCAGAAAGCGGTGCCAAGCTTTCTTGGGTATCTTAAAATGGAAAAAATCTCCCTGCTGAGAGACATGGCCCTGTCTCTCCATTGACACTGAAAAAAGCCTAAACAATTAGTTAGACTAAATGCCTGCATTTTGAAGAACCAAAGTTAGGGTTAGATGAATCCTTCTTGTAGGTTGACCAGCATAATGGAAAGAAATGGAAGATTTTTTCCTTTGAGAGTAGCTTTACAGCTATTCTATCTGCTATGGTAAGGATTGGGTATATTTGAACCCCAGAGTTTAAACGCTTCTAAAAGTGATTCTTCACAGTTTTTCATTCTGGTACATTACCCCTGTCTTTAGAAAGTTCAGACTATCTATTAATGGTATGCTGTAGACCAAACTGGCAGATATATTAGTCAGGATCTCATCCCATATTGAGGACGGTGAAAAAGCAGTATTCATCTCCCTTTAAAGTAAGGAGGAAGTAATAAAAAGTTGCTTTTTTTGTTTGTGTATGAGCTTTTTTTTTAATGTCAGTTTGATTAAAGTAAAAAAGTGACAGTACTTTCAAACTAATTATGGCAGTCATATTCTTTTGATACACTGTATTTTTCTCCAAAATACTGGACATTTTAAAGCAAAAGTAATGTAGTGCAGATAAATTATTTGAAGATATATGATAAATGTATTTTATCATGTAAGTCTGCAGTGAATCACATTTTTAAGTATAATAGATACATATAGTATGTAGTATCTGTATACATATTATAAGTGGTACTCACTAGCTGGCTGTGACTGTGACTAAGGGTCACATATTTCTTATTTTTCTTACTATTTACCCAGTTGCTTATAAGTGACAAGGTGAACTGTTCCATGAAATTCATAGATTTTTAGTAGCTACATTCTCAGAAACATCTGTCCGTGCTCTAGCCCAGAGCTAAAAAGAACTTTTCCCATACTTTCATGTGTGTGTTGCTGTGGGTTAGCTAGGTATAGATACCTGAAATGCAAGAAGAGAGACTGTCTCAACTATATTCTCAATGGCAGACAAATTTAATTCCGACTTTTTAGTAACTGATGAGAAATATTAACATAGTTTTTGTCTGCAATACACCTATACATTCTGTACTTTTTTTTTTAAGGTGTCAGAAATAACAGATGAACTGGCTACGTTGCCTAAAAGAGCTCAGTTAGCAGCTGCATTTATTACCTATCTTTCTGCTGCTCCTGAGGATCAGAGGAAAACCAGCTTGGATGAATGGACCAAATCAGCAGGCCTTGAAAGTAATTGTGTGTGTGTGTGTGTCTGTGTCTGTGTGTGCAAGTAATTAAGCTTGATTGAGGAAGTGAGAAATGCCAGTGTGTTCTAATGAACAGTCTCAACTGTCTTGGTGTTCCCAAATGAAAAGTGACAACATTTTCTTACTCAATAAATACTTGTGTATATCGACAGACTATTTATTAAGATTATTCTATTAATTATTAAGATTATAAATACTTATAAATGCTTCAGATTTAGCTCCATAGTCCTTGCTTACAAAGAAAGGTTTACATGAATGAATGTATTCACATTAACTGTTGTAAATTTGCCAACGTATTCTGAATGCTTCTGCTTTTTCAGTAATAATTTTTTATATATATTTTGTATATGTATATATTTTTTATAACATCAGCTAGTTAATAGTAATAAGTTCAAGCAATAAAATAATAAATTTAAGGGAAATCTACAGACTTGAACTGTGTGTTAGACAGAGTCTCCACTGTATATAGAGTGGTAAATGCTTAAAAATTATGCAGACTATAAATACTAGCACAAACTTACACTCTTTCATTTATCAGAGTTCGATTTACGGCGGTTCCTGTGTACAGAAAGTGAGGAGTTAGTTTGGAAAAGTGAAGGTTTACCTTCAGATGACCTTTCAATAGAAAATGCTCTTGTCATCTTGCAGGTAAATTTGGTTTTTTGTCTTGTCTTGGAAGTATTTCAATGTCTACAAATTTCAGTAACATGGCATCTTTCTGGAATTTTGAACTATTTCATTTGTGTTATTTTATTAGCACCACAGAACACACAGAGAAACAAATACTTATGTAACTCTGGGTTTTCTGTATCAAAAGGAAAAAAACAGTTAAAGGAAATATATGTTTTTCTTTTTTGCTTTTACAATTTTCTTCCAGATATTGAATAGACAAAACCTGGTATCAGTCTATTCAGGCTTAAAGTGTGAATAATCATTAACACCAATACAATCAGTGAAATGTTATGTCCTATCTATGTTCACTTTGAGATATCATTTCTAATACTTTTTTTTCTCAGAAAAAGGAAAAGACTATATGCAGATACCTTTCAAAACATCTAGATTTTAAACCCTCAGATTTCATCAGATTAGGTCTGTGATACAAAATGCCATTCACTTAAGGCCAGTAGCTAATAATACTTGAGAAAAGAATGATAATACTGTGCTTATAATCATGATTCAGTTTTATCATATAGTTATATATAAATATATAATAAATATACATATGCCATTGCACAATTATGTACATAATAGTGTAGTTATAATGTAGTCATTTATTAGATCTGCTAGAAAGTAAATATTTAATGCCATGAGGAGAATCTGCATTTGCCACAGGTAGTTTGCTTGGATGATTGATGTTTCTCTCAAATCAGTTACAGCCTTTTCTCCAATTTAAATTTATCTTGCTTTATCATCTTGATATTAGATCTAGTTATTCCTTTCTCAGTTTGATTAAAAAGCTCTTCAATAAATACCATTTTGTACCCGTAAAGCTACTTATATGCTATAATCGAGTCTTATTTTCATCTTTTTCCTTAGTTGAATAGATTGAGCTCTTAAAAATCTCACTGTGTGCAAAGAGCTTTTTCAAGCCCTCCCTCAGCTCAAATAATTTTCTTTGTGTATAGTTTTTTTCAGCATCCTTTTAAAACTGGAATTGGACATGGTATTTTACTAATGTCACCTACAGTACAGTTTGCAAGCTTTTGTGCTCCTCATCTTTTGATGCTTGGATATTGTCCGTGTTTCCTTGTCTTTCAGTTTGAGATCTGTGTAGTTACTCGGTTTGGAATAGTAGAACTCAGAATCTAAAAAAACCCAAAACCTGAAAGTGTTCTTCTATCAGATTGAATCAGAGAATTGCTGAAAATACATGTTTAAACCCTCAGCAAGTTTGCTGATGACACAAAACTGGGAGGAGTGGCTGATACACTAGAGGGTCAAGCTGCTGCCCAGAGGGTCCTCGACAGGCTGTAGAAATGGGCTGGCAGGAACCTCATGAAGTTCAACAAGGGGAATTGCAAAGTCCTGGACCTGGGGAAGAACAACCCCATGTACCAACACATGCTGGAGGCCACCCAGCTGCAAAGCAGTTTTGCAGAAAAGGACCTGGGGGTCCTGGTGGACACTGGGTTGAACATGAGCCAGTAATGGGCCCTTGCCAAAAAGAAGGCTAATGGTATCCTGGGCTGCTTTAGGCAAAGTATTGGAAGCAGGTCAACGGAGGTGATCCTTCCCCTCTACTCAGCACTGGTGAGGCCACACCTGGAGTCCTGTGTCAAATTTTGTGCTCCTCAGTATAAGAGAGACATGGATGTACTGGAGAGAGTCCAGTGAAAGGCCACAAAGATGATTAAGGCAGTGGAGCATCTCTCCCATGAGGAAAGGCTAGGAGAGCTGGGACTGTTGAGCCTGGAGAAGAGAAGGCTCAGGAGGGATCTTATCAATGTCTATAAATACCTGAAGGGAGGGTGCAAGGAAGGTTGAGCCAGGCTCTTTTCAGAGGTGCCCAGTGACTGGACAAGAGCCAGTGGGCACAAACTGAAACACAGGAGGCTCCGTCTGAACATCAGGGAACACTTTTTTACTGTTAGGGTGACTGAGCACTGGCACACGTTGCCCAGGGAAGTGGTGGAGTCTCCATCCCTGGAGATACTCAAAAGCCATCTGGACATTGTCCTGGGCCATCAGCTATAGGTAGCCCTGCTCAAGCAGGGGGTTTGGACAAGATGACCTCCAGAGGTCCCCTCCAATCTCAACCATTCTGTATTTCTGTGAAATCTTAAATGCATATGTCAACTATGAATAGGTCTCTTTTCACTTATCCTACTTACTACCATCTCTGTGGTCACTGTTGTGACCATTGTGTCATGACCATGTGACCATCTGAGCACTTACATAATTAGTATATCAGTGGTTATAGTCTCAACATTTAGAAAGCAATGTGTATAGTATAACATATCTTTATATAATATAATAAAATAGTAAAGCTTTGCACAGTACTGATACGGGAACCACATATTAATAAATGTTTTATTAAAATGAAAACCTGCTGTCTTTTCAGTATACATGTCACTAGGCAATATCACCAAAACGTTCTACATTGTAGTGTTTGCAAGTTTGAGATCTGGATTTGTTTGTGATTATAAGTAAAATGCTATTTGTATCTTTATGCCTGCAAAATACTTATATTCATTATTCTTTCTAAAATGCATTGAGGTCCAAAACCAGAAGTACTGTATCTTTGCCCACTACAGGAAGAAAAAGGAAAAATAATAACTCTTCTTGTAAGTTTCAAAGCAGTTGTGAATAACAAAAGCTGTAGATTATACTCATTGAATAGAGACTCCTGTTTTTAAGAGAAGGTGAAGAACTGCCTAACTTTAGCAGGAGAAACACCTGAGAATTATGATTCTGGGTGCTTTTTTTTAAAAAAAAAAAGTAGTAAAATAAAAGGCATAAAATGCATTCTACTGTTGTTTATTGTAATTTTGTTATTAGACTGTTACTGTTTCTTTAAACAGTTTTTTAATGAAAAGGATTTTTAAATGACTATACCATTTGTTTGGGGAAATAAAAAAGGACTCAATTCAATTTTCTTCTTAAACGGAATAGATTTCAGTAAAAATATTTTTTTATTTATTTATTTTTTTTTCCCCCTAGAGTAAAGTTTGCCCATTTTTGATAGACCCTTCTTTCCGGGCTACTGAATGGTTGAAGACACATTTGAAGGAATCACATTTGGAAGTTATTAACCAACAGGTGCAGTATTTACTCTTGGTCTTACAATTCTGTTCTGCTTGAGCTTGCTCTATTCCAGATTTTAGAGAGCAGTTTTTAAAGTGATGTGATAGCAATCACCAAAAATGGGGTTATATTCCATGAAGCATATGATTTCTCACAGAGTTCTAAGTTACCATGATCCTTGTGTGGTACTGAAAATTTGTTTACTCAAGGAGGTGATCAGAGTATTTAAAATTGGAGGGTCAACATCTAGTATTACTTCTACAAGTTTGCCTCTTTGTGCTGCCCTCTCCAAGATTATCAGTATTTCCTGCTCAGAGGGAGATAGTAAAAAATTTGTAAACAGAAAGGTCTTTTGTATTCTTGGTTGCAGTTCATTGGATTTCAGGAGTGTGTATACACTTCTTCCCTGTGATTTTTGTGTTGTATTATCTACATTGGAAATAGTAGGTTGGATTTTAGTTTGAGATTAAGGTACCTAAGATTAGTTGTCTACACGTCACTGTTTACATGGGTGGCGAGGCTAGGCAGGCATGTAGTGCCATTCAAAAGTCCCTTATTGAACCCCACCTGGCCTCAAGATACTCCTTCAGCAGAATGTAGGTCTTCCACAGATCCCTGCCAGCTCTGTGCCGGCCTTTTAGATACTCTCTGATACATATCTTTGGGTAATTGAATGCTTCCCCTGCTAGATGATTGGCTTGATTACTTTTTAGGCTCTGTTGTCTGCATTGTCTAGGATCTCCATTGACTGTAATGGAGTCTTAAACGCCAAGTGCATGTTTACAAGCAAGAGACTGCATTTAGTTATCTTAATATCAATGTGAATCCTGTCCTTAGGTCTTGATTCAGTTTTGAGACATAGTGTTAACTAGCCAGGACTTCCAGGTGTGCCTGACAGACGTGACACAAGACCTATGGTAGACCTGCTCTCGTCTGGTGCAGCACTTGGAGAGCTAGGCATGTAAAATAGGTTGCCTGTATGTAAGTAGCTGAATAGATGAAACTTATTTAAATTAAACACTTCTGGCTAAACCCTGAAATATCATATGATGCTTACAATAGAATTTTTCAGCTATACTACTGATTTTTAGATTTAGACTCCTGGTATAATGCCTTCCTGTTCATTCCGAAGTGTTAATATTTCAAAAAAAAATTAATCAAATGAATTTATTTTTATTTGCCCAGGACACCAACTTCCTAACTGCTCTTGAGCTGGCAGTGAGATTTGGGAAAACACTTATTATACAGGAAATGGATGGAGTGGAGCCTGTACTTTACCCGTTGCTAAGAAGAGATCTTGTTGCTCAAGGTAAATGACCAAGATCTTTACAAATGCTTACTCAAAGCTTTTGTAGGTTAGATCTATAAATATCATATAAAACTCAATTTTTCTGAAAACAAGTATTGTGTAGTTTTTTCCTCTTTAACATTAACCTGCTGCTAACACTTCAGTGCCTGAAATATGTTGGAGATATGTTCTTGTTTAGTAAGTGGAAAAATATTGAAAAATATTTAAAGATTTTTTGACTGGAATTAGAATAAAGTGTTTTTATCAACTCTTCACAATTTAAATAAGTTAATTTCTAGTGATAATTTCAAATACATAGTTTTACTTAGGAACTTGGGCCTTAAATAGACCAGAAATTACCCAACTGGTTGTCCAGTTAGAAATCAGAGTTTTCGAATGTTGGTGTTGGTGTTGCTGTTTCTCTTTCATTTGTCTGAAACTAAAGAAGGCACACAGGTCTGTCCCTGATGTGACTTTGGAATGGGGGGGTCATAGATGTCAGCAAAATTGTGGAATTCGGTGAAAGGAGTCTCCCTAACTGATACAATGAAAGGAAAAAAACCAAAAATCACATTTTACAATATCTCTGCTTTGGAGAGATAATGTACTCTATATAACTATATATAACTGCTTTGGATTTAGTTGTTTTAAAAGGCTGATATGAAAAATTTTGTTGAAAGTTTAGCAAAGATAAATAGTAATAATATAAGTATCTCAGCATGAATTGTGATGAATTATGTTGCATATTTTGAAATTATATCAAAAGAACTGAGTGGATTAAAAAAATACAACAACGAATGTTTTAAATACTTTCTAAATTATTGTACTTAAAGTATATTTACATTATCCTTATCTTTTTTATTTGTGCCTCAAGTGTTAATTCCTCAGCATGTACCACAGCCTGTGCATGTAATTTACAGTATGAACTTTGGGCACTGAAAATAGCTCAAGGCTCCTTTTTGCTGTCATCTCATCTAATATTTAGATATAATAGTGGGTGATATAGCAGTAATTCTTTAAATGTAAATACGTGGTAAAAATGAATGCAAATGCTGTAGAGTTCTTGGATACATTTATCTCCTATATAGGCAAAGTCTGTTTAGTAAAAAGAAAATGTTAGTATAAATCATTCTTCCATTACAGATGTGCTTGCTTGTTTATCCTTGGTAAAAGTTGAGACCACCACCAAAGTGGTGACCTCAGGGATCCATAGGACGTTGAGTAGAACATCTTTACAACCTTTTTTTACTAGCTTCTGCTGAACTTTGGAAAGCAGAGATATAATATTACAGGCATCTTAACTTATTTTACTCAAGGAATCAAATTAAGAGATTAATATGTCTGCAGAACTGTGGAGAAAGCAGATTAAATTAAAATATACCAGTTTATTCAGGGAAATTGCTCATAACACTCAGGCATCCTCTTTTGCATGTTAATGAGCTATGTTAATGCTAGGTCTGTGCAAGTACAAACTAGGGAGCTGTTTTTTGAAAAGGGAGAATGTGTCACTTTGAGTCTTTTCGGTCACTTCATAAGCAAGCGCGCACTCCTCTTTGTCAAAACGTGGAGGTGGGGGCCTGTCTGCATTATTTTGCTTGTGATGACTGTACATCTTTTCATTACTTGGAATGAAATGTTAAGAAAAATGTGAATATATATACTATAATAAATTTGTCCTTGTACAGCTTCCATTTTCTGTTTGACGTTTTTACAGCATAGGCCTAAAATTTATTCTGATCCTTGGCACAGAAGCAAAATTGGTATGTGATTTTCATCTCTACCAGTGTTTTAGCAAGAGATTTATACTTGGAGCATTTCTGATCTGCTCCTAGTGCTAAAAATAGAGAAGCACCTAACTATGCCACCTCAGAAATTTCTCTGGAAAGGAAATTTTCACTTTGAAACTTTTCATCTTATAATTCTGTTCTTCATTTTCTCTTAGTATCAGGAGACAAAATTTTATTCTAGTCATGTGATTGAGTCTATTCTTTTCTGACTCTGCTAGAATGGAAACCTGTGGTGGAAGGAGGATGGTGAGAGGCCATACATACAGTTTCATTCTGTGACAGGCATATTGAGAAATGTCAAAATACTAGGAATATAAACAGAGATCGAAACCGTGACAGCAGAAATTTAATAAATTAATTGTTTCTTTCATACTGTGATTAAATTAGATGTATTTATAATAAGACAAATTTATGGGATATTTCTTAATGGAATATTTTTCTTTCAATCTAATGACTAGATATTCCAGCATCTTTAGTTTCATAGACTTTCTCTATAACAGTTATTAAACAAAGTCATATTTTAATACAATTATGATTGTACAGCAACATCAACCTTCTACAAATAAACGTAACAGATCCAGAGATGAAATCTAATGGTTTTGGATCATATTCAGAAAATATTGAACCATCTTAGTTAGCCAATATGTAATTATGGCTAGGGGTTTTTTAGAGTGGTATACATCTGTGGAAATGTAAATGAATATCTTTAAATTATGACAGGATTCTTGCACAAAAGGGGGATTCTCCAGTGCATCTTCTGTGGTGTTTTGTTCATTGTTTGAAGATTTGAAAGATTCATTAGTATTACTTTTACTTCAAGTACCTTTTTTGTGATTTATGCTTTTTGTACTGGGTAAGGATAATTAAACTACCCTGTTTTATTAAATATTCTTATGATGTAACTTTCTTACGCTAGTGCTATGTTATTGCATTTTTTTTGTCTAACAGTGCAGGATAGGTTATGTTCCTTAAATTTTTTAAATTTATTTTTCTTTCCAAACAATTTATAAATTAATTTTATAAAATATATTTGCATCTATTGGTCATAAAGTATTACACAAATACTGTTATTTTCAGATAATTCTAGAATGTTCCAATCAGAGTGAGTATAACATCTATTTATTATTTACAGGGCCCCGTTATGCTATACAAATAGGTGAAAAAATGATAGATTATAATGAAGAGTTCCGTCTTTTTCTGTCGACAAGGAACCCGAATCCCTCCATTCCACCTGATGCTTCTTCTATTGTTACAGAAGTAAACTTTACCACAACTGGAAGTGGCTTAAGAGGACAGGTAGGCATTTAGAACAAAAACAACGTATGTATAGCGGACATTCATAGCTACATTCAGCTTCTGGAAGAAGCCCTATGGTGCAGTTTGCATTAATGGTCATGGAGATATTTTCTAGCACACAAATATAAATGATATAATCGATTTTAAAATCTTGGGTTTATGCACTTTGGAACCAAGTAGTGAGTCCAATAGAGAAAATGGAAACCATCTCATTGACTTCAGTTGCAACAGATTAATTGCTAAGCTTCTGTTTTCTGTTCAAGATGCATTTATGGTACCGTGGAAACATTTCTGTTACTGCTCTCCAGTGTCCTAGTTAGAGAGTAATGCTAGCTTCAAGATACTTTGTGTACAGGAAAAATGTAATGAAACCAAAAAGCTATGTATTTTACTTCCTCCAAAATGCTATTAGCTTTTGAGGTTTTTTCTATAACGTTTAGGAAGCAAACTGTAGCATACAGATGGAAGAAAGAAAGAAAAGAAAAGAGAGAAATTAAGGGAAGAAAAAACCCTATTTATTTTGTACGAAACAAGTTTTTCCAAACTAATAAGAGGCTTAGAATGGGATGTAAATAAGATGTTGGTAATTAAGATATAATTCAAAATGTGAAGTATGGATAACCATACGGATTTCCTCCCTCCACTGGAGATAGGGAATCGACATCATACAATGTAACCAAGTGAATTGGCCCCCTCTTGAAGTGGAAATACAGAAAAAAACCCTTTGGTTTTGGTTTCTCTCTTTGTTGGCAGGAGAGGGGTTTGTCTTTTGGTAGACTTGCTGGAAAGAAATTCGCTGCCATTCTTTCCAGTTTGTGCTTTCTATCACCTACTTCTTTTTATATCTGATAACAGTATATACACTAATGAGGACTGCCAATCCTTTAAACACAGGTGTGATTCAGACTGAGGTGCAAAGATTTAGGTCTCAGCATAAAAGGGTGTGAATCAGTGTCCTTAATAAAATGATCCAGTGCCTTTTGAGATGTCCTTGAGTATCTCACCTGGCTTGCATCTGCTGTTATACACAAGGGCATGGTTCACAGTAGTTTCTGGGTTATACTTGCCACTGCAGGATATCCTGGATGTCTACATAGATTTAAAGCTGTTGGATGTCCGGTGCAACTGAGTAAACCCTCAGAAGTCTACTTTCAAAAATATAGACTATATACTGCTATATGATTAATGAGTATATATTATGCTATATAATTAATGAATATATATTATGATATATGAGAGTGTTTTTCATCCTGTTGAATAATCTCCTTTCTTTTTAGCTTTTGGCTTTAACAATAAAGCACGAAAAGCCTGATTTGGAAGAGCAGAAGACAAAACTGTTACAGCAAGAAGAAGATAAGAAGATACAGTTAGCTAAACTGGAGGAATCTCTTTTGGAGGTAAAATAAATTTACCTCTTTTATATCTGTTAGATCAATAAGATAGTGTTCATATTGTTATGTGTTTGAATGAAGATGGTGAAAGTATCGGAATAATGAGCCCTCAGATTTCTTCATTTGAGAAAATAAAAGCATTATTTGCCTGGGGCTGTTGGGAGAGTAAAGTAGATAAAATATGTACATCTGTCATGAAGCTATAGTATTTCAATACATTAAGCATTGTCAAAATTGAATGTATGAATTGTTGGGCTAGATATAGACTGGTTTAGATTGATTAGAAATTTCATTAATTTTAATGCATTAAAAAAGAGAAAACTTTGTTAAAAATTATACTATTTCTTTTTCAAATTATGAGTTTTAAAAAAGCCACAGTTTTAAGCTTGTGAATCATGTCAAATGATACTTTCTCAAGTTGAGAAATGATTCTGTGTTTTGAAAGGAAAAAAAGGTGAAAGAAAAATTTCCAGAAGAAAATGGAAAGATTTGTTGAGAGACATTTCAAACTTTAAACCTCCACAATTGTTTCTTATTAGCAATGAACTGTAATATTCTTTATAGTTAACATTTTCGTTTCTCATATTTAAAATTAATATTCTTAATTTTCATTTTACCTTTTAATGAAAGTAATTATGCTCAGAAACAGTTGCACACCTCTATAAGAAAAGGTAGTTTCCAAGGAAGAGGACTTCTGCGTCTTGTCATGGATTTCACAGAAACTGTACTTCATGCCTATAGGAATGGATCCTCAAATCCTCCTTCCTCCTAAAATGTCATAGATGCAGGGAAATTGACCTGCTGTCTCAAAACCCTCAGTCTGTAGCTGAGTCATAGAACTTGCAGTATCCAGCACAATGGACTTGAACATAAGCTAATCGTTTTTACAGATTCATCAAAAAGTAATAAACTGAACTTTATTAGACTGGCCATTAATAGCTCAATTTTAGAATTTTGCACATAATTATCTAATGTGATTTGAATTTCCACATTTACTGTCCCTATTAAACTCCCTATTACTTCTCGAATACTAAGCTCAAACCTTTTTTAAAACTGTGATGAGGCAGATTTCTCTTACAGGCAGAGAGAAACTTGTTCTCTAGAAAAATTCCATATTCAAAGTTAATCATTGTTTAGCATCTTAGTGTCTACCAGAAGCTGAGAGTTCAGAGATGCAACAAAAAAAGTCCACTTTTTAGAATAGACTTTTTGTGTGATCTTGGAACTCCAAAATCTTTCACATTTGTCCAATCTGAATTGTCAAGTGCAAAATTTCAAGTAATTGATGCCTAAGATATCTGCAACAAAAAGTGGCCAAGTATTAACACCGAAGCTCGTTTCAACTTTGGCATTTTTGTTAGCACTGAAATCAGAATATTCTTTGACCCTGAAGAAAGAAACCTAATGCTCAGTGGAAACTGACAGGTGCTAGATGGACTTTGTCGACGAAGAAGTCAGTGGTGGAGGTGATCTAGCTAAATTCAAGTTAATCCTAAAGCAACGTTAGCATTCCATGTGAAGTACTGTACTGGTTTTCTTCCGAAAGCCTTGGAGTAAAGACATACATGCTGTCTCTGTCTCATAGCTCACACTATGATTCCTCATAGCAAAATCAGCTCCTTGAAAAAACAGATGATCTTGTCCTAAACTCTTTCCAACTAGAGAACTAAGTGCATTCTATTATTCTAACTGGTGAATCTCTGCCTCCAAATATCCTGAAATGCTGTCCTACAGGTAGTTGTTCAGAACTGACTTAACTGACAAGAAGCCAATTTTATGTTGTTGTCTCACTAAAAAATTGTATTGAAGGGTATAGTAATAAACCTTAAATAATAGTGAATCATTCAAGCTTTTCCCACTTCTTATTAGAAGTGAAATTGTTTGTACAGGAGAACTCAGGGAAAATGTGGGATAATCTCAAGGATTTTGAATGGATCTCTGATTACAAAACTGAAATTGTTGTAATTGCGAATATTCATCTCAGTTGGAAATGAGAACTAAATTGTATAGGGGATATTGGAATGTTTTTGAAGGAAAATTAATTTATGCATGACTGGGTGCAGTAAGTCATTACAAGTAGCCAATTTCAGGTTAAATTGGTAGTTAAGTAGAAGAAAAAATACCCTAATTTGTATTTACCATGGGGATATTAGTGCGTAAGACTCTGATCATAGAAATCATTCTCAAAAGCTTACTGACGACTTAAGTTTCAGAACCTGGCAATCTGGATTTTTGGAGTTTGCTCTTGGGTTTTATTTTCCATGCTTCTTTAAAATAGCATCTCAGTTTTTGGAATAACCACCTGCTTTCTAGTACTCTTGATACATTCAATGATTCAGAAATACGTACAGGCCAGAAAGAAGGACAGCTTCCAAAATCGTTACTTTACAGGGTTTTTTTTTAATGTAACATAGATGACTTTTTTTTTTTTTACAGACGCTTGCAACATCACAAGGCAATATACTAGAAAATAAGGATCTGATTGAATCTTTGAATCAGACTAAAGCAAGTAGTGCACTCATCCAAGAATCACTTGCTGAATCTCACAGACTTCAGAGTTTCCTTGATAAGGTCGAAGAATATTCTATTCTTTTATTGCTGTTTTTTTCCTGCTAAAAATAGTCATCTTCTATATAGAGAGGTTATATACATCCACAGGAGTATAAGATCTGTAACATGCTAAATTAATTTTTTGGAGTAAAAGATATTTGGGATATGCAAGTACAGAAAGTATTTTCAGTAATTAAATTCCTTTGTTTTACACATGGTGAATAGCTACACAATTTAAAGTATGCCTGTTTGAATTAAAGGAATTTTCACCAAGGACTTATTGGCAAATAATGGGTTTTGACTTTGTTTTTGCAATCTGCTATTGCAAACAGTATGGCTCATATGGATGTTCTTACTTAATATATCCCTTGCTATTGCAAAAATTTAGATCACTGGTGATGCTATTCATCTGGCATGCTGTTTTTGTAACACACTACAGAGTTTTCCTCTGTGTTATTATTTGTTTAGTTTAAAATTTTCTATTGAATTTTGGGATGTGTTCTGTGGTGGGAAGAAGCCTCAGTGCCCTAGGGATTAATTTCCAAAATGTTCTTCCTAATTTAAAGAATTTTTTGCTAAAAATGCTTTCTTCCAATTTTGAAATCTAAAGACAGTGTTGAAGTCTTGAGTGCATGTCCCTCAATTTGAAGAATTGGAAAGGATTCAGTTTTCTAAAGCAGTGGGAGTCATCCGAATGTTTTTTCAGTGGGATGAATAAATGTTTATGCAATAACCTAGTAATGTACAAGAATTGGAAAGGATTCAGTTTTCTAAAGCAGTGGGAGTCATCCGAATGTTTTTTCAGTGGGATGAATAAATGTTTATGCAATAACCTGTAGATGGCAGTAATGTACTGGTTTTTTATATATGTATGGGGTTTTTTATCCACAGGAGAGGGACGCCTATCTCCCTTTAGCTGAGAGTGCTAGCAAGATGTACTTTATTATCTCTGACTTGTCCAAAATTAATAATATGTACCGGTTTAGTTTGGCGGCTTTCCTGCGGCTTTTCCAAAGGACTCTGCAAAGCGAGCAGGTATTTTCTCTTTTCCTGAAGCTGTGAATGCTGCAGGAGAATCAATCTGCTTTGATCCTTAGAATTTGTTAGTTGCTCTGGACATTTTTAGAAAATAATGTATAATAACTGATGATGCAATGTATAATAAGTTGTGATGCTGAACTGTTGTGCTTTAGATATTCAGAATACATGCACATGGAATTTTTAATGATCTTACATTACGTATAAATTGTAAAATTGCTGTGCCACCTGAAAACGAAGTAACTCTTATTTGTAATTTCAGGCTTGCTCTTTGTCTAAGGTGAATTAGGAAAAACGAGGTTAATTATAACTTTCCTGAAGGCTTTATTTAAATAAATTAGTGATCTAATCTGCAAATAACGCTAATTTTATCAACAAGGAGTAGAATAAAACCTATATTTCTACATGGTTCAGTTACCTGAAGGAAGATCAAAACTTTATCTACTTTTATACAGTTTGTAAGCATGAATGCAGCCTGTCTTGTTGAAAATGTAATTTTTAGTTTTCTGTATTCTAATGGCCAGTATATTCTTCTTACTGAAGCACAGAATTATGGATTTATCCGTTGTCACCTCACTCTTTAGATCTAAAAACCCACACTGGGTAACAATGCATTTTCTTTTTATTCAGCATCTCCAAAATTCATCTTTTTTCTTTGTTTCCACTTTTAAAAGGCATTCACCAGCCTTTCATCATGTCACTTTTGGATTCCCCTTTATTCTGGCATTTGTGCTTACAACTTTCCTTCAGCTCCAATCATTACCAGGAACACAGTTCTGACTATACAAAGTTGCCCTCTTTAATGTGCTTTACCTGTTACTTTTTTTCCACAACATAGGCTTCTAATTTCTTGTTCTTACTTTCACACTCTTTCATAATTTCTTTGCTTCCTGCCTAATATGTTAACCTTTCTAAAGCTCAACTTCTGGTTTTGCCTTCTTTGCTTTCTTCCGTTTTTTCTTCTCCTCTATCCAGTTCTTCATTTGTCCCAAGCTATCTTTTAGACATGGGGAAGGTATTAGTCGAATCAGCTTGTGAATCCAAATTGCCCTCCTTTATAAACTCATCTCTTCAAATTCCTGCATGGTAGAAAGGAGCTTGTTTCTGATAAATCTCATACTACCTGTTACCTCCCCCACGTTTTTGGTTTTTTTTCCCTCTTCTTCCTTATTTTATCCTATCTTTCTTTCAGTTTTCTCCTCCTGTTATAATTAGTCTCTTAGTCTCTCAGCTTTGAAGGACAGAGTATATTTACTGTTTTCTACAGTGCTTACCTCAGTTGGGCCAAATTTGGCTGGAAGTTTAGTAACTACACTTAACATCAACATACCTGTTTAATAACATTAAATACAGTAATTCAATACATAAGCAATTTTTTACCAAGTGAAAACTATGAGATGTCAAGGGTATTAATGTTAGAAGAAACTGTTATCTCATTCTCTATGTATTTAACTTATATATAATGTTGTATAATGTTCACAGTCAAAATATTCAAGGCTAAAATACTGATTTCTTAATGCTTCAGCATGAACTTCTCATTTTATCATCTACTCATTGATAGATGCAGCTGAGTTCAATAATATATTTTTAGAACTAGTCAGTGTCACATAGAGTCCAGATTATTTGTGTCATTCTGGTGAAATTTACAGGGTACATAAAAAGATTTTTACTTCCACATGAATTTTTGAAATCCAGACTTTCTTTTCAGGATTCAAGTAATACTGAGGAAAGAATCAAGTCACTTATTGGCTCATTGAAACATACAGTGTATGAATATGTTTGTCATTGTTTGTTTAAGGTAAGATTGTATTTTTTCCGGCTTTTATACAGTGCACTGGGTTTGAAAGTATTCTTTCAGCAGCCAACACTTGATCTACTTCAAATAAGCAGTATTGTGTCAGTACATATGTAATACATGCAAACAATTACACTTGCAATATTTAACATGCAAAATGAGGACTAAAAATTAGGATATGACAGAATAAAGATTGCTTATGCACATTCTCCACAGAGCAGTTTTCTAATGGACAAGACTATTCTCAGTCTAGTCCTATTTCTGCTTTACCTCTGGCCCCTCATCTCTGCCTCATTCTTGCTTCATAGCCAGTAGCAGGCTTCACAGGCTTCTGAGCACTCTTACCCTGTTTGCTCTTATTTCTAGCATTTCTTAAGCATGAGTGTTTAACCTAGCAGTCGTGTTAAGGTTTTGTGTGATTATTTGTTTGTTTGTTTGTTTTTTAAAAAAAGGAAACAAAAAAACCATTGTAATATTCTCCTTTCTCTCTTTACTTCCGGCTCCAAATCTTTACCAACTAGCTTTTTTGTTTCTATCTGTTGCCCTGTTCCTTCATATAATGTTCTTAATGTATTTCTTGTTTGCCCTGTATTTGAATCAGGTGGCTTTTCTCTTCTTGCTTTCTTGGTGAACACCTAAGATAGATATGCCCTTCACTTTCAATTTTAAGTTTTACTTTCACATGGAACAGTCATAACAGGAGGTGTTTGTCTCACAGTACCAGGCTGAAGAATGCATAGTAGGTCTGCATAGATGATTTGAGCAGTAGTAGAAATCATGCAAGTCTGGGTTTGATCACTGAGAATGGAGAGATCTTGGAAAATTTTACAACACTTCCCCCTTTCCCCCCAATCTAGCCACACTGTATTGAGGATGCAGAGGTGGCAGTTATTTCTAAGGATTTTGGTTTATCAAAGTCCAGGTGGATTCTTATGAAATAGTCTCATAAAAATTTAATGTCTGTGTTTGAAGTCATGAGTTTGTGAAGCCTTCCAATAAGTCATCACATCTTTTGAATATTGGAAAGCAGCTATTTTTATGTATCAGAAAAGATGAAAGATTTCAAAAGCAAGACACAGACAGGAGATTTCTAGTAGGAAAGATTTTCACTGTGAGTGGTCAGACTGGAGTTTAGAAAATACTGAAAGTTTAAGTGTTACCATGCAGCTTCAGACTAATGGTCCATCCAGCTTATAGTATCGTGTTCTGATAGTGGAAAGAACAAATAAGCTCCTCACACTATCAGCAATCCACTGCTAATTCTGCCTTTTATCCATGCAAATTTTTAAAGACTACTGTGGCACGGAGGCTTTACTAGTGTCTTCATAAAAGGTATAAAAAGCTGATACAAGTTAAAAAGTTTGACAGACATGTAGACGTGGCACTTAGGGACATGGTTTAGTGGGACTTGGCGATGTTAGGTTTACGGTTGGACTCAATGATCTTAAAGGTCTTTTCCAACCTAAATGATTCTATGACAAGTTTATACCTTTTTAAGTGTGTTAGAATTAGGAAGGATGGTTTTGTTTGTCTGTGGTTAATATTTATGTTTGTGCGTACCTAGATTTCATCTATGCTGGTATGTGAAGTGGTGCCAAGAAATTTTCCTGACCACTGAAACCGGCCCATCTGTACTGTTAATTTGTCAAAATAGCTACTGTCATAGGCTTGGCCTGGGCCAGTTACCATTTTTCCAAACAATTCCCATTCAAATTCTGGATACTAAATCATCCAGGGACCATTCTAATAGGCAGTTTGGATTTGGATTTGCTTGCAGACCTTGTCTGAGAGGATGAAAGAGTTGAATGGTGTGGATTTCAGCCATTCCATGGCAGTTGTTCTGTGTCATATGATGTTCACGGACGTATTTTATTTATCAGTACAAACAGAACTTTAGTGCTTTGCACAGTTTGACCCTGATTCCTAGTTGGGGCCTGTTTGCCCTCCAGTACTACCTCTGTAACAAAACCAGTATTAAATATGTGCAAAAATAAAATACGATGTCCTTCATTTGCTTTAATTGTATCCTTGGGGATACTTTGTACTGTACGGTTTTGTAATTGAAAGAATTAATAAAACAGAACTATTTAAAATAGCAAACAACAACTTTATGTATCGGTATCCATAGAGATACAGATTACGCCAAGAGTTTGTTGTGGTTGCCATCATGCATTTCTGCAGTTACCCAAATCCAGTTTAAAGCAGCTGTGACTCATACGAATTAAATTATATATAGCCTCCTAGTTGTTTCTAAGGTCGGTCATTCCAAGGGCAATTAAAACCAGTAAGGATATGGTCTCTAAACCACATATGTTCCTTTAATCAGTCAGCCATAATTCTGGAACCTAATCACCAGGTAAATTATTAAATAATAATCTCTATTATTTGAAATACAGACACACCTGCAGTTGAAGTTACTTTTATTGCACATGAGAAAACTTCCCAAAGATGATGAACATCTTGAACACCCTTACTCCGTGTTTTTGTTCTATGTTCTTATATCTGTCTGTTTCTGAGCTGACGTGTCAGGCTTGTAAAAAGGCATCTGTATGAGAAAACATGAATAAGAAAAGAAAACAAAAGTAATTTGTCCCTCTTATATAATTTTGGCCTCAAAAATATAAGACATAGAGATGAGAAAGCCAATATTAGTCAAACAGTTCATCTTATACCTTATAACATGTATATAATATTTCCTAGAGTATGCTTCCTCATATTTGGTCCTATCTCTTCTGAAAAGTCCCATGCAATTCGTCTTTCAGTAGTATTCTTGGTAATTTAATATTCTTTAGAGCGGTAATTCTCTGAAGCTAAGGACAATCAGGCTGTCATTTTGAGGTACGCATAAGGCACGTATGTGGGAAATGACACCATGGAAAATTCAAACAACGTTGTTTAGAAGTCAAGAATAGAATTGATTTCTACAGGAGTGCAGGTGTGTTGTGTTTATCAGCTGGTTGAGATGCCTGTGCTCTGCAGGCTTAACCCAATCCCATGCATCACTGTTTTTTCTTCTGTTCTTCCCTTTCACCTGTGCTTTATGCTTTTTAGTAATGTTTCACCTTCTTGAAAGGAAGAGGTACCAGCTTCCTTATGCTTACTTAAAATTCTAATGAAAGAAAATATGTGTATATCTTCTGTTGTCCGGTAAAATGCATCTTCCAGATTACAGCCAGACTTTGAAAATTGGAGGCCTCAATCTAGGTTTCTTAGTGCTCCTGATTTTCCAGAGTACGAACTTCCAGTTTTTCATGTTGACTTCATTACATAGTAATCTCTCCTTTCCAGCACAGCTTTGGTAAAACACATCTATGAATGTTTCTGTGTATGGACATAGGAATCTCAGTTTTAACAAGCCAATATTCTTTCCAAAAATATTGTCCTGAATGTTTGCATGGTTTATTCTGTGGCTCCGGTAAATCCTTATTCATGGTTTATTGCTCCAGTGCTCAGAGACTGATTGAAATTCAAGTGATGCGACAGACCTAGGAAAAAAGTCAGAAGGTTACAATTGTTTGGGGTTTTTTTAATCAAAATTCTGTTTTGAAAATTTGCTATAAGAAGATTTCAAGCATTTCCTATGCACAGTTTGAAAAATAATGGATTCTGTTTAGTATGTTTGCTTTATTACACGTACCTGTTTTTTCTTCTTCCCTTGAATTTAGATGTACTTAGGTACAAGTTTTGGGTTAGTGTTTGTCTCTAAGTTGCAGAGGTATGTAGCAATTTTGAATTAAGATATGTGTCATTAAGTCACTGCTATGGAATTAGATGTGTTTTATTAATGAAATTTTGTTACTTATAAAAAAAGCAGAAAGGTGACTTTTGATGAACATATAAATACAGTTTTACTGCTTTTATTTCAGGCTGATCAGCTAATGTTTGCTCTACATTTTGTACGAGGAATGCACCCTGAACTTTTTCAAGAGAATGTAAGTGCTAGAGGAGAAAATCCCCAAGTGATTTACTTAAACTTAGTATGAAGAGTGAATGAGTAGATAAAAAGTTTTTTCAGGAAGTGTAGGACTTGGGATTTTAGGCTTATATGCTACTATTTTTCTATAGTTACTTTTGGATGTCAACATGTTTATTAGGTTCAAAGTGAAGATTACCATGAGAAAGGTAGGTAAATGGTTGCCTTTTAAATAGGGGTCTGAAAAAGATGTTTATGGAGAGTTTTTGCAGTTTTTTGCAGGCACTGTATCAGTGTTTCACGCCACCATGTGGCTAGACATTTATCCATCCTTCCAGTTAAATACACATTTCTTTATAAGTAAAGTGATGGATACACGTGTTTCACTGTGACCAAGGGTTGCTTGCACATCGTGCCTTGGTATTGAAATGCAGAAAAAGAATACAAGACCTAGGAAGAAACGAAGTAAAAGTCTGATTCTGCAATCTGCAGTTGAAGACACTTAAAGCAAAGAGTCTTCCTGGAAGGTGAAGTAATGAAGTTATCTTTTGTGCATTTCAGCCATTGATTCTTCAGTGTCTAAGAAATCACTGGAGCAGTGATCATTTATGTCCTCATTTGCAACAGTGTCTTCAAGAGTGCACTGTACAGAGAGTGTCCTTCTTGTATGTTGTTCTCTGGCCACATAAGTATTGGATTCTTTGCACCATATTGGTTTATCTTTGAGAGGAATGATGCTCTCATCCTGGAATGGTTTATGTTTTTGATAGCGCAGTGGGATGCAGTTGGTATAGGTTCACATCACATTTAATAAAAATGGCTCTCCATTCAGTTTTCAGGCAAGTGCTGCATTATTAGCATATTCACAAAATTTGAGAGCTGTCATGTGACATTTTTGACAGTGGTCTGAATTAGGCCTAATCTGAAAATGCCTAATTTATGGGGAATTTAACTATTGTTTAGAGGCTACCCTATTCCCAACAAAATTGCAGCAGAGCTTACGTACTGCTAACCCTTATTCTCTTTGGGTGTTAGATAATGCTTTTGCCCGACACGGAGGTTCATAGTGAATTTGCATGTTTCCGGTAAAATGGTACTTTTAGTGGTGATTGAATTGGTAACTAAAATTTAAACACCTGTTAAAATTCCTCTGAGCAGGTTATCCTAGACTTCCTGACTAGGAAACAGGAAAAAAACCAGACCTGTCAAAGAAGCAATTTGTTTCATCATAAATGAATTTTGTAAAATAGGTCAGATGGATTACCGCTAAAATTGTTTACTTGTTACCATTCCCCTTACAGGCAGACTAGACTAGGTGGCTGAGATGTAGATGCCAAAGTTATAGTTGTCTATAGTGTAGTGAAATTAATCCTATAAAATGTGCCTGCAATAGAACAGTATGCACAATCAACTCAATACAATTGCTTAAACATGGCTGATTAGCGTGAGTCAATACACATTTAATTATCTAAAATACCTACATTGAATGGAGAGACAAAGCTATGGCTTTCTGTACTAGAAGCTGGAGACCAGAGGGAGTATGAAATGATACTAGATGTCAATTCACTAGAGGAGAGTCCATTATAGGGTAAAAGGTAAAAATCAGATAATACGTTTGAAGGAAGTAATGGAACTTGATTATATGAAGGATGTGGGTTTAAAGTACAAGGTTTAAGAAAGGTTGGTTGAAACTTTTTGATGTTATGAATGCAATGTAGTTTTATTACAGACATATGGATTGACGAAGTGAAATCCCACAGTCTTTCAGCAGTGAAGCTGCCTGATAAAAATAACTCAAATTAATCTTCTTGGTAGAGGCATACCCTGGCTACTCTTCATTAGTAGAACTTCCCTAATACATCTTTATTATTTCTTTTCAGCTTCTGAAAATATCTTGCTTTATCTTTCTAGTCCTTGAGTTTATAAAGTCATGAAGGCAGCAACTTGCAAATAGTTTTCTGACTAAATTAAAGCCTAGCCTCCTAGGCTTCTTAAGAATTTGTAAGTACTGCTTTGTGTTGGTTGCTATTTTTTTAGCGTGCATTTCCATCAGCTATTAAAGCTCTTAACCAGCTTAATCTAGGTTACATATAATGCACATTCCTGCATTATCTGAGTACTCAAGCATTAAAACAGGCAAATAATATCAATAATTCTCTTACTTCTCTGAAAGGTAGAAGTTATTTTAATTAAATTGTTAAGAAAAAAGTGCTTGTGCAAAATATTTATTGAGGAAAATGAAGCTGAAGTGGTCATTCTTTTGAAGTTATTTCTTTTAAAGCTTTTAATGTGATGAGGCTAGAAGTAGCTTATTATGCTGCTAGAGAATTTAGTATTCTAAGTTCCTATCCCAAAAGAGATCAACCTTCTGCACTTATGAATTTTTTGCAATGTGATGAGAAATTTTATAGTACAACTATAGTACAACTTCAACATTATATTATAGAATGCCTTGGCTTCTAGTAGAGACATTCTCTTTCTGAATCAATATATATAGATTTTTCAGAGGTAGTTTTACAAGTCTTTACATATTACATTTCTGCTTTTCTTCATAAAACTGTTACACGATTTCTGGTTTTAAAACTAGGGAGACTTCATGTATTTTTCTGCACGAAAATATGCACGAGCATTATCTTTGTAATTGGGAGAGGACCAGGTTTGTAATTGAAAGAGAGTTGTTCAAGACAATTAGATTGAGGGATGCAAAAAGCTATGCTCTGGTTTGTATCAGAGTAGTACTAGTTGATTTACTTTTTCATTTGGAATTTTACTATTGTCTTTAACAAAAAATAAAATTTTCCTTATCATAGAGTTATAGATACTGCTTATGTAAAATTTCAATACTCTGAAGGTTTTTTAGTATATTTCTTACCACCTCCAAATATAGGATTATGTCATTTCTAGTATGTTCTTAAATACTTATCTAATCTGTCTTAAAATGATTAAAAGCTGTCTTCCTGAATACAAATACCAAGTCTAAAAGATTTAATCATACAGAAATTCAACTTACATTTCCCCTTTGTTAATGCAACCAAAGTATTCATAATATAAATCTATTATACTAAGTATTCCTCTTGTTCTAATAACTGCATCTTTTGGATACTATAACATGAAACAATATTGAAACATGGATTCTGTAGTTATCTGTTCTATGTGGGCTGCTGATACCCCATCAGGCAGTATGTGTGTCTTTACCAGCCAAGTGTGTTACTTCTTGTGGTAACGTGGTCTGCCTGGACTTCAGTAAAGCCTTTGACACTGTCTCCCACAGCCTTCTCCTAGAGAAGCTGGCGTCTCACGGCTTAGACAGGTGTACTCTGCGCTGGGTCAAAAACTGGC